TAAGGATTTGGCAGCTGGCGCCAGGAATTCTCAGGAAACAAAATTCCTTAATTTCAGCTCCGTTCTTTTATAAAAAAAAATGAAACTGAAATTAAGAACTGGGTTACATGGCCACAATTCCTGGTCCAAGCTGCAAAATCCTTAATTTCAGCTCCATTTTTTTTTAAAAACATGGAGCTGAAATTAAGGACTTTGCAGCTGGTGCCAGGAATTGTGGCCATGTATCCCAGTTCTTAATTTCAGTTTCTTTTTTTTATAAAAAAACGGAGCTGAAATTAAGGATTTTGCAGCTGGTGTCATGAATTGTGGCCATGTAACCCAGTTCTTAATTTCAGTTTCTTTTTTTATGAAAAAAAAACGGAGCTGAAATTAAGGAATCAGGCAGGTCTCGGCCCCCAATCGGCCATTTTTTCTCCGCTGCGCGGGGCTGGCCTCTGTTATTCCCTCTCTCCCCCTTCCGACCCCCCCCCACTGGTTGCCCTTTGAACCCACAATTTTTTCCTCCGCTGCGCGGGGCTGGCCTCTCTGTTATTCCCTCTCTCCCCCTTCCGGCCCCACCACCCCCCCCACTGGTTGCCCTTTGAACCCACAACTTTTTTTTCTCCGCTGCGCGGGGTGCGGGGGTGGGGTGGTGGGGGTGGCAGGGGGGCGGTCGTTGGCTGGGGTGGAGTGCGGGAGGGTGAGTAGGGGTGTAGGGCAGTCATGCTTAGGAGGGTTAGGGGCTGGGCTTGCTCAGTTTACTCAGTGACTCAAAAATTAGTGTTTCGACTCTGGCGACGACCCGACTCTATCAGTGCTGACTGACAAGAGAAAATGTGGACGTATTGGGCTGCTCTCTCTCCATCTCTCTATCTGTTTCCTTATTGCCTTCTTTCTTTCTTTTCTTTATTTCTCTTTTTCTTTCGTTCGTTCCTTCTTTTGTTCGTTCTTTCGTTTTTAGGTATGGTACCGATGCCGAAGACTCCTTGAAACAGCGCTGCTTAATGGTAGGCTCAGGCACTCGAGCCAGCTTTTCACAGCTGCAATCATTGACATCAATCTAAAATCTGATCTCTCTCTGCAACGACGAACTGAAATCAGCCCAACTGAAAAAACCTTAATTTCAGCCCGTTTTTTTCTTGCAGTGAATTTAGAAATTTAGCCGTTTAGGGTTTAGGGTTTAGGGTTTAGGGTTTAGGGTTTAGGGTTTGGGGTTTGGGGTTTAGGGCTTAGGGCTTAGGGCTTAGGGCTTAGGGTTATAGGAGTACAGGGTAGAGAAATGGGATTATCGTGTTCACGGTTGTAGAATTATCGGGTTTAGGGTCATGGGACTATAGGGCTTAGGGTTCTAGCAGAAGAGAGTTTCGAGTCATAGGATGCTCTAGGGTTTCGGGCTGTAGGATCAGGATGTCGCAACGAGCTACGGCTCGAAATCCCAAACCTTAACAACCCTCCAAGCATCAACCCTGTAAGCTTTCAACCCTACGCCCTACGCCGTAGCTCCGCGCGAGATGTTCACCGCGGAAACATGCTAAGCCCGAAGGCCACCCCCGTCCTGAACCCTGAGCACCAAAGCCTAAAGCCTAAAGCCTAAACCCTAAACCCTCAACCCTAAACCCTAAACCCCAAAACCTAAACCCTAAACCCTACAGCAGCCTTGAGTCCTGCAGAATCCACGCCCCCAACCAAGAGACCTCGGCGCGAATCGCCAAGCGCGGCCGCAGCAATCTATGGACCTTGGACCGGCATTTTGCATTTTAGCAGCGCTACCTTGACAAAGACGAAGGCAAAAATAGCAACAACTAAGGACGTGCGCCCCAGTCTCGAGTTGCTCTAAACCGAGGTTCACACACACACACACACCGAGGTTTAGGGTTCCGGGTAAGGGTTTGGATTTGAACATTTGTGGTTCAGGGTCTAGGGTTGAGGGTGTTGGGATGCTGGGCGCAGTGTGGCTCAGGTTTTTAGGGTATAATCTTAACGAATGATGCGTATAGGTTCTCACGTCTACAGCTGCGTAGGATACAACTTCACAGGTGGCTCCCCTCCGGAATCGCAAAACCTAATCCCACCCTAAACCTCAAACCCTAAGCTTCTCCAGGCCTTGCAAATGACGCCGGGTTAGGGTTTAGGGTTTAGGGTTTAGGGTTTAGGGTTTAGGGTTTAGGGTTTAGGGTTTAGGGTTTAGGGTTTAGGGTTTAGGGTTTAGGGTTTAGGGTTTAGGGTTTAGGGTTCTTCCAAGGGCCTTTCAAAGGGGCCTTGGGATGGGAGGATGATCTACAACCTTGGCCTTAAACCCTAAACCCTAAACTTGTAAACCCTGGGCTCTAAGGAATACATGCTTGTAATTACCCAGTAATAACCCAAATACGAGGAAGAGTATATACTAAGACTACTTAAAATAGCGAACACCATAGCGAATATGTACATAGACACATATACATATCATACCTGTACATACATACAGGCAGACAGACAGACAGATAGACATACAAAGCACACCCAAAGAACCCCCCCCCCCCCCCCCACCCACGTCAATTAGAAGAGGAATCCCAGTTTGATTTTCATGGATGCTCCCCGACTAGGGATCCTGGGCTCGGGGTTCTTAGGGTTTGTAGGGGTCAGTAGAGTTGATAGGGTTCATGGGGATTCTACGATGTATCAAGTTTATGGGGTTCGTAGGGTTTATAGAGTTTAGAGTCCAAAGGCCTTAGGGTTTATGGAGCTCATGGGGTTTATGAGGTTAACCCTAAACCCTAAACCCTAAACCCTAAAGCCTAAACCCTAAATAAACCCTAAACCCTAAACCCTAAACCGTAAACCCTAAACCCTAAACCCTAAAGCCTAAACCCTAAAGCCTAAACCCTAAACCCTAAACCGTTTATGGGGCTTTATAGGATTTATAAGCTGCAGGGGAGACTGGGGCCCGAACAGTCTGGCACAGGGACGCCATGCTCAGCTTCTACGCTCAGGAACTGGAGCCACCCAAGTCAAGGAGGGTTAGGTTTAAGGGTTTAAGGGTTTAAGGGTTTAAGGGTTTAAGGGTATTAGGGTATTAGGGTATTAGGGTATGAGGGCATTAGGGTATTAGGGTATTAGGGTTTTAGGGCTTTAGGGTTTTAGGGTTTTAGGGTTTTAGGGTTTTAGGGTTTGAGGGTTTGAGGGTTTAAGGGTTTAAGGGTTTTAGGGTTTTAGGGTTTTAGGGTTGCGGGGTTTCGGGGTTTAGGGTTTGGGCCTTGAAACCCTCTGAGAGGAACTCCTACACAACGGGCCCTTTACGATTGGATATACACCCTAAACCTTAAACCCTCCTAAACCCTAAGCCCTAAACCCTAAACCCTTTAGGGTTTAGGGTTTGGGGTTCTGGGCTTCGTTCGCGGGGGAAGGATCCAAAGCTCGCAGATTTGAAGGGTGAAGGGGCGTCGATTTTCAAGTGGTCCTGGGCTGTAGAAGCATTTTTCTAACCCTCGAAGCCAGAACCCTAAACCTAAACTCCAAAACCCCGAAAACGCAAACCCTAAAACCCTACAGAACCCCAAAGCCCTAAACCCGCCCAAAACCCCAAGCCCAGATCCCACGACCACAGTTTTCCCGATCCAAGAGTAACCTAGGCAGTAAAAGGGTACACTTTCGTGGTTTAAAGGGGATTATAGAAGAGAACCTAGATCAAGAAAGGGAATGCCTCCACATGCCTTTTTTCTGATTCCGGGGCCGCAAAATTCTAAACTGGGTCTAGGGTTTGGGGTTTAGGGGTTTCGGGATTTTAGTGGCCCACAGACCCGAGACTGGGTTCACCCCTAGTAAAGTTCTACAGAAGAAGCCGCGCAAAGCCGTTTTGTTACTTTTAAGCAGGGCAGACGGGAGTCCGAGATGCTTCGGGACACCATCTCTCTCAGAGGCTTTGGGGTCCCAGAGTTAGGGTTTAGGGTGTTTGGGGAAACCCTAAACCCTAACCAGGCAACCAAAAATTACCGGGACTGCTACAAGTTGGCTATATAGGGGCAGAGGGTTTAAACACCTTAAGCCTACAGCCTTAATCTCTAAGCTTCGGGAACCCTAAACCCTAAACCCTAAACCCTAAACCCTAAACCCTAAACCCTAAACCCTAAACCCTAGAACCTAAGGCCCAATTCAGGGCAGCAGCGGCTGCGGACTAACCTCAGTCGGTATCCACGCGCTTGAGGTTGGCATGGGCTTCCCACAAAAGCCCGAAGCCCTACGACCCAAGAACACCTGCGAACTTTGAGCAGGGTTTAGGGTTTAGGGTTTAGGGTTTAGGGTTTGGGGTTTAGGGTTTAGGATTTGGGGTTTGGGGTTTAGGGTTTAGGGGTTAGGGTTTATGGAGCCGAGATTACGATAAAAGGCTGCACTCTGTGAAGCCTAGAGAAGTATTGAGGCCCTCAACTTGACAGTCTTATAGGCCCTACTTGGAGGTTCATGGGTTGCTTCAAGTAGGGTTATAAGTTAGAAGTATGTTGCCCACAGTTATAACCTTATTTTGGCACTTGTAACCCTACTTCTAGCTGTCCATGAACCTTCATGTGTCATGGACCCTACACGCTGTGGCGACAAGCCCCAAAGTACCGCCACAAACCCTTTAAGCGCTAAGCTCACAAACCCTAAACCCTAAACCCTAAACCCTCAGCGCTAAGCTCAAAAATCCATGAGCACCCCCTAGCCCTCAACCCCGACAAGAACTGTTCCGCGTGTTGGCATACATATATATATATATATATATAGATAATGAATATGGCATGCTACTTTCCGCGCCCCCCCCCCCCCCCCCCGGGCCCGAAACTCTAAACCCGAACCCCAAAACTCGAACCATAGACCATGAATATACACAGAACAAATAAACACATAAATGCAAATCAACAAATAAAAAAACATAAATATGTATGAATATGGATAACAAAAAATTCTTGAAATATATATATCTACATATATACATAGTTATATTTGTATAGTTAATTATTTATTCATGTTTATACTGAACAGTTTAGACTCGACGCCACGCCTCGTCAAGGTCCCAAACCTGCCAGCTGGCGGGCGACAGAGCCTGGCTGTTGAACCGCCACATGGCTTTTGGGCTTAGGGTTTAGGGTTCAGGGTTTAGGGTTTAGGCTTTAGGGTTCAGGGTTTTGTGGTTGAGAGGTTGAAGGGTTTCGGGATCGAGGTGTAGGGTGGGAGCTCCCAAAGCTTTAGGGTCTCAGAGTTTAGGGTTTAGGGTTTAGGAGTACATCCCAAACCCTACACACAACACCTGAACCCGGCCTGCACCCCGAACACTGGGCCCCAAGGCAATTCTTACCCAGTCTTACCCTAAGGCTCCAGAGACTCTTGTCTTGGTTTGCTGGGGATCAATGACCTGTCATACGCATGTATGTACATAAGTACGTGTATGCTTCTGTTTATGTACATAATAAGTATATATGCAGGCATTACATGTACTGTTTGTATATATGTAATGTAAAAAAGTATACATGTAGAAGCACACATATATATACATGTGTATGTATGTATGTATGCATCTAGGTATATGCGTACATGTGTATCTGCGTATATGTGTATGTGTCTAGATGTATATCGGAACATGCATATATGTACGTAGGAGCACACACACACAAACAAACAAACACATTAATCAATACACATGTAAATATTTGTGGGTGTATGTCCCTGCATACACACAAATATGTAAGTATATAGAATAACCAGATATATGACATAGATCTATCTATCAATCTATATGTATACACACATTAACGTATCTAATATGCATGTATTCATTCACTCATTCATTCGTTCATTTCCTTTCCTTTTCTTTCCTTTCATTTCATTTCATTTCACTTAATTTCATTCCATTTCATTCATTCATTCATTTTCTTATTTATTTGTGCATATGTATGTACGTCTAGGCAAAGCTGGTTCGCATGCTGTATGGTTCACGGCAATCTTGAACCCCGGCCCTACATCCAAAACCGCTTCAGGCTAACTGGCTTCGGGTTTCGTCTTTCAGGGCAAGCAATCAGTGCTGGAGCAGTGCCAACTTCAGGGCCTTCGGGCAGCTGCTTGTCATGAATCGCAGGCGGCTGTTGCATGGCACTAGAACGATGCCGTCGTGTAACAAACGAGCAAGCGCCTGTAAGACCAGAACCTGCTAGGAGACGATGGGTTGCAAAGCCACCTCTCAACTCTCAGACTCTGTCTTCTAGTGGAGCTACCATCGAAAAACCTGAATCCGTGCCTCGAGGTCGCTTCATCGGCCTTGCTGGCAGCTCTTCGTCCTCATCGCGACTTTGGATGCTTTACAGCCGATAGCCCTCGCGCTGAACTCCATGTCTCTGCTATGGTTAGAAGGATTTTGGGCTTCCACAACGGCCCTTCAAGCCTTTCTTTCTCTGACAGTCGCGCCCATCTGGGTTTAGGGTTTAGGGTTTAGGGTTTAGGGTTTAGGGTTTAGGGTTTAGGGTTTAGGGTTTAGGGTTGATGATCAGACTTTAGAGCGAAGGGGCCTCATGTGCAGACGGAGCTTGCACCGCAGACTTGGGCTTCGCGCCCTGGAACCAGTAGAGGGTTCGGGGTTTAGGGTTTAGGGTTGAGGGTTTGGGGTTCAGGGTTTAGGGTTTTAGGGCTTCGGGGGTTGAAGGTTTGTTAGGGGCCTGCTGGGGCTTCGGGGTCTGCAGAGTTCAGGGTCTGCAAGGGTTTAGGGTTTGGAAGTTGTAGGGTGTAGGGTTAAACCTCCTGCCGCGACCCCTCATGGCGCGTGCACACGCCCAACAATCCTGCCCCCAACAAATCCCTAGCCCCCCTTAAAACTTAAGCCGAAGCCCTGAAGACCAGCGGCCAAGATCCCTAAACCCTATAAACCCTAAACCCTAAACCCTAAACCCTAAACCCTAAACCCTAAACCCTAAACCCTAAACCCTAAACCCTAAACCCTAAACCCTAAACCCTAAACCCTAAACCACAAACCCCAACCCCAAACCCTAAACCCCAAACCCTAAACCCTAAGGCTCGGTGCCTTCCTCTCCGGGCTTGGGCGCAACCTGGAGCACGCCACGGATAGGGTTCAGGGTTCAGGGTTCAGGGTTCAGGGTTCAGGGTTCAGGGTTCAGGGTTCAGGGTTCAGGGTTCAGGGTTCAGGGTTCAGGGTTCAGGGCTGAGGGTTGAGGGTTGAGGGTTTAGGGGTTAGGGTTGGGGGTTTGGGGTTTAGGTTTTGAGTAATTAAGGGAGGGTTGAGGGCTTAGGGTTCAGATTTAGGACTTAGGGTCGGATTTGTTCACTGGGGTTTAGGGTTTTGGGCTGTTTTGGCGCTTGCCATGGCTTGCCGTAGGTTTCTTCATCTTTTTTGATTTGCTTTATTTTTTCGAGCGGGGGAGGGGAGGGTCTACGGTTTCTCGGGTTATTTGCATGTAGGGCTTAAGGTCTAGGGTCCGAAACTTAGGATATAGACCCCCGAAGTGCTGTTAGTGTAGACGGGGGGCTCCTCACTGTGGTGGCTTCGTACATCGTCTTCTGAACATGGGCTCGTACCTAAATACCACAACCCTCAACCCTGCAATCCCTGCAATCCCTACCACAAACCTGATAAACCCTGTAACACCTATAAGCCTTGCAAACTTTTCTAAGCCCCATGAAACTTTATCGACCCTATACGACCCTGTTCGGCCCCTGAAAGCCCCAAAAAACCTACAGTAAACTCCAGAAAGTTGGAACATGGTATAAGGATGATTAGAGCTGGGATTCCCTTTAGTGTACCTCTTGGGGTATGGGATAAGGATGTTCCAGCTGTTTGGAGTTTACTGTAACCCCCTAGACCCTAAACCCGAAACCATAAATGATCGGGTTTCGCTCCAAAACGAAGGCCCTGGGCCTCGGCCATAAACCACAAAACGGAACCTAAAAACACCCTATTCTCCTGTGAACCCCCTATAAAGCCCTAAACCCTAAACCCTAAACTTTAAATCCTAAACCCTAGACACCCCCTAAAAAAAAAAAAAAACAACAAACAACAACAACCTAAATCAGCCGCCTCGGCGCGCTGGGGGCCGCATATTTGCAGGGCCGGGCCAGGGCCTGTGTGACCCAGGGCCTGTCAGGACCGGTTTGGGGTTGGTAGGGTTTAGGGTTTAGGGTTTAGGGTTGAGGGTTGAGGGTTGAGGGTTGAGGGTTGAGGGTTGAGGGTTGAGGGTTGAGGGTTGAGGGTTGAGGGTTGAGGGTTGAGAGTTTAGGGTTTGGGGTTTAGGGTTTCGGGTTCAGAAGGCCTGACACAATCGGTTTGGGATTTTGAGGGAGTTTAGGAACGGGGTTTAACAGGGGTGTGTAGGGTTGATGTACGGTTTACAAGGCTGAGAAGGGTTGGTCTAGGGTCTATATAGTTTGGGGTTTGGGGTTTGGGGCTTGGAGTTTGGGGTCTTGCAGCTTGGGGTCTTGGGTCTTGGGGCTTGGGGTTCGGGGCTTTTAGGGGTGAGTGGGGGCCCCTAAACTCTTAAACCCAAAAACCCAAGGCCTAAGGCCTAAGGCCTACGCCCAGCAACACGAGGTGTCACAAAGCTCGGCTCGGTAATGTGGCAGGGGGTGATCCGGAGAGTGTGTCAAGGCTCCTCCAGCATTCATAAGGGGTTCAAGAGTTTAGCTGCTTCGGGGATCTTCCGAATTTCGTGGCATCATCTTGGGCCCTGTGATGGAGATTGAGAGATGAGCTGAGTTGAGATGTTTGCAGCGGCAGGAGAATGCATCAACATGTCGAAATTCTAGGTTTGGGCTGCCATGCGCTCCCTCGACGCAGATTGACGCGGAGGCTAGGGCGGCACACGCAACTGGCAGAGCGCCACCTCACCGCCCCACCCAACTAGGACGATGGCCCGAATCGGCCCGAACCTCCCTGTGAGATGCTGTCAACAATACACCAGGAAGACCGACCACACAGGAAGGAGCACTTTTGCAAGCAATTGCGACAAAAAGAACAAGACTGGGGAGAGGCTAAGTATGCCATTGCTGGGTGCATTTTTAGCCTTTTGTTCCATGCGTGTTCAAGAATCAAGCGGTGTCTACCTGAACAAGCCGTGTAGAAACACGCAGCAAGGAGCTGCGAAGCTGCAGTCCCTCCAAGCTTTGGTTATAGAACTCGCCGAATGTCAAGGTCTGTAGGCCGCTGGGAAGCTGCAGTCCCTCCAAGCTCTGGTTGAACTTCTCGCCGAAGGTCAAGGTCTGTAGGCCACTGGGAAGCTGCAGTCCCTCCAGGCTCTGGTTGAAGTCACGGCCGAAGGTCAAGGTCTGTAGGCCGCTGGGAAACTGCAGTCCCTCCAAGCTCTGGTTGAAGAAAACACCGAAGGTCAGGGTGCGTAGGCCGCTGGGAAGCTGCAGACCCTCCAAGCTCTGGTTGAACTTATCGCCGAAGGTCAAGGTCTGCAGGCCGCTGGGCAACTGCAGTCCCGCCAAGCTCTGGTTGAACTTATCGCCGAAGGCCAAGATCTGTAGGCCGCTGGGAAGCCGCAGTGTGTCCAAGCTCTGGTTGAAGTCACGGCCGAAGGCCAGGGTCTGTAAGCCGCTGGGAAGCTGCAGTCCCTCCAAGCTCTGGTTGAATGCGCAACCGAAGGTCAAGGTCTGTAGGCCGCTGGGAAGCTGCAGCCCTGTCAAGCTCTGGTTAAACTTATCGCCGAAGGTCAAAGTCTGTAGGCCGCTGGGAATCTGCAGTCCCTCCAAGCTTTGATTGAAAGCACAACCGAAGGTCAAGGTCTGGAGGCCGCTTGGAAGCTGCAGTCCTTCCAAGCTCTGGTTGAAGTCATGGCCGAAGGTCAAGGTTCGTAGGACGCTGGGAATCCGCAGTCCCTCCAAGCTCTGGTTGAACTTATCGCCGAAGGTCAAGGTCTGTAGGCCGCTGGGAAGCTGAAGTTTTTTCAGGCTCTGCTTCTCATTGAAGGGACCGCCGAAGGTCAAGGTCTGTAGGCCGCTGGGAAGCTGCACTCCTGTCAAGCTCTGGCTAAACTTATCGCCGAAGGTCAAGGTCTGTAGGCCGCTGGGAAGAGCCAGTCCCTCCAAGCTCTGGTTGAAATCACGGCCGAAGGTCAAGGTCTGTAGGCTGGAAGGAAACTGCAGTCCCTCCAAGCTCTGATTGAAGAAAACGCCGAAGGTCAAGGTCTGTAGGCCGCTGGGAAGCTGCAGTCCCTCAAAGCTCTGGTTGAAGAATACGCCGAAGGTCAAGGCAACAATCTCAGCCTTGGCATCAGTGTCTTCAGCTAAAGCGTTCCCTGCGAAGGCACGCTCTATACAGCGGACTGCGTAGCCGGCCCCAAGCTTCCGAATCACATATGTGACCTCTCGGTCTTGAGCTTGTTGCAGCAGCGGCTGGCAAGGGTCGAGGACCCGGTCGCCTGAAGTCAGCACGATTGACTCAGCGGACCGGCCAACTCTTCCTGCTACGCGTCTCTGCACATCCCACCCCGTTTCCACACTGTCCACATGGAGCTGAAATGTCGAGCCTTCAAGGCAGCGCACGGTCAATGGCGCAAGGCTGGCGCTTGACCCCGCTAGAATGGCCGCTGCGGCCAAGGGCTTTGCCTCACGTAGTTCACGCCCCTCACGCTTAGCGACCACGATGCACAGCGTCGTGCGAGGTGAGCCGGAGACTTCGATGACGAGGTCAACTGGGCCTCTGCGGCCTCTAGAAACAGAGTCGTGATGTTCCCGCATTTGCTGGAGGGCATTCCTGCCCAACTCCCCAATGTCAGCACATTTGAGATGCAGCCTCTCCAAGTGTCGGCCGCTCTCCCTTGACAAGTCAGCTGCCAAAGCGACGGCATCCTCGTCGCGCAGGTTGCCACACTCGATCTGGATGTCGGAAGCACCCGACTCCACTACACCGAGAGCTACTTTCCAAGCATGCTCCGAGCTTGCATTTACAACTAGCTCCTTCAGCGCGCTGTAGAAAGGAAGTGCCACAACCAAAGTGGCAAGCTTCGCATCATCCAGGTCCTCTACAAGAAGCCTTGTTGTGGAAGCTGTCTTCTCCCTGAAGATCTTCTCCTGAAGCTCGAAAACCTTGCCTGCGTCGTCCCGATGCGTGAACTGAAGCTGTGTCATCTGCGACCGGAACATGTCTGGAGGAAGGGGCACTGGATTCCCATCCTTGAGGGAAGCCCTGAGGGCTGCCCACTGAGCCTCTGCTTGACACCAACCTCTATCATCATAAGGTGTTTGGTTCAAGTGCAGCTTCGACACAGGCACCAGCATCACTTTGCCCTCCTCTTCCCAGAAAACTGGGATCCTCCAGCGGCAGCGGTTGGCTGCAAGACACTCATCTCGAACGCTCTGCGGGGTCAGCAGCGTTATCCGATACACTTCGATGGCCTCGTGCGCATAAAGCAAATGCATATTGTCGAGCGCCTGCTTGAAGCGGCTCTCCTGATCTTCATCCCTGATGTACTGGTGCAGCGAGACAAAGTCGAAGAAGATCCACACTAAGCTGTCAAGTAGTCGTGGACGATATTCCTTGACAATGGCGTCAAGCTGATACCTGTTGAGGGTGAGGATGCTAAGATATGGGGGTTTCCCAAAATAGGGGTGCCCCCAATATACCCCCAAATACTATAGTCCTTATCATAGTTCCACCCCCCCAAAAAAGGTAGCCCCATTCTCGGAAACCCCCTTTACCTTGGGAGAGACGGCCCCTCCTAATCCCTGACCGAACGCCAACCTCCAGGGATCCGGATGCTGCATGCTCTCCCACACGTGGCTCACCGACACAAGAAGGACGGTGACCGGTCTCGGCTTTGGGTGCTGGATCATCGTGGACAAATGGCCCGTCACGTCGTCGATCCTGACTTCGTTCAGTTCCTCGGCGTCAACGAGGGCTGCTGCTCCTGCGGCGGTCTTCTCGTTCTCGGCCTCCTGGCGTCGGGGAAAGGTTCTCCCTGTTTCAAGAAGTTCGATGAGATACTCAAGGCGGACGAGCCTGACGTCTGCATCCTGAAGGAAGCAAAGCAGACTCCGGGGGTCAGTCAGACCATAGCTCTTGCCCTCATGGGCAGCAATCATAACGGTCACATAGTATGCCACAGCGGCTCTGATACGTCTTGAACCAGACAAGCTGCACACCACGTAACCAGCACTGCGGGAAGGTGCAAAGCTTCATCACGGCCTAAAAACAGCGGGCCCGGGGCCTGCCATGCAGGCTGCCTTCAGGGCTTCCGCGGCTCCTTGCGAGAATTGCGGGTTTAGGGTTAGGGTTTAGGGTGTAGGGTTTGAGTGGAGTGAAGGGTGCGCCGTTGAAGTGGAGGGTGGAGGGTGGGGGGTTTTGGGGGCTTCGGGTTCAGCATCTCAAGTTCAAGTCCACGCACACAACGCACAAAGAAATACCGATATACCCACCCACCCACCCAGCCAGCCACCCACCCACCCAGAGGTGCCCTGTCATCCTTTGCGTAGAGACTCATCGTATCAAACTTTCCTGGGCATCTCGCCAGGATGTTTTTTGTTTCGGGGCGCTTACATTTGTAAGAAAGCTTTGAGTCGAACACATGTACATTTGACATGCAGAACTTGGCATGGCTTGGGGAAGAAGAGGCCTCAAGGAATCCCTAAGCTACCTAGTGAATGTTCCCTGCCCTAAACTCTAAACCCTAAACCCTAAACCCTAGACTCTAAACCCTAAACCTAAACCCTAAACCCTAAACCCTAAACCCTAAACCCTAAACCCGAAGTCTGGGCATGCGGCAAGCTTGTAGATGGCTTCGGAGGCAGGGCATGCCATTGCTCGGCGAGCCTTGAAGACTTCCGACCCCTTTTTTTGGGGGGTCAAAGCTTCGTGGGTTTAGGGTTTAGGGTTTAGGGTTTAGGGCTTAGGGCTTAGGGTTTAGGGCTTTGGGTTTAGGGCATGAGGGTTGGCCCGAAACACTATGTCTACACCTCAACTCTGAGACCTCGGTAGAAAGGGAAGCAAGGTGTACGGACTCTCGGGGAATTCGACCGCCTCGTAAACCTCAAAGCCTAGAACGCCTCAACCCTACACAGGGTCTGGAATTCAGGGGCTAGGGTTTAGGGTTTAGGGTTTAGGGTTTATGGTTTAGGGTTTAGGGTTTAGGGTTTTCGAGGCTGACGGTTCAGGGGCTTGCACCGCGTACCTTCAAGCCTTGCTGTCAAGTAGATGGCGGTCCTATTCTAGACTCAGGAGTAACCTACCGTAAACCCTAAACCCTGTAAACCCTAAACCCATTTTGGTTTTGAGGGGATTATAAGGGAACCCCATCCTTTGAAGAAGGAAATACGGGCCTACTCCGGGTCCTAGCCCTAAACCCTAAACCCTAAACCCTAAACCCTAAACCCTAAACCCTAAACCCTAAACCCTAAACCCTAAACCCTAAACCCTAAACCCTAAACCCTAAACCCTAAACCTAAACCCTAAACCCTAAACCCTAAACCCTAAGCCCTAAACCCTAAACCCTAAAAAAAAAGCAAGGGTCTACTCCGGGTCCTAGTATATGCTGGGATGGAACCGTTCAGGCGCCGCCTCAAAGTCCACGAATCCTACGGGCCCACGCGCTCAGCACCCAATCCTGTGGAACAAAACTCTCACCCTGAACCCTAAACTCTGAACACTAAACTCTGAACCCTGAACCCTGAACCCTGAACCCTGAACCCTAAACCCTAAACCCTAAACCCTGAACCCTAAACCCTAAACCCTGAGCTTATAGCTCAGAGCTCCAAGTTGCGCACGTCGGCGCCAGTTCTTTGAAGTGCTTGCAGGGGACGCGACATGCCTGCATCAAATCCTTGGCGTTTAGGGTTTAGGGTTTAGGGTTTAGGGTTTAGGGTTTAGGGTTTAGGGTTCCGGCAGAAGCGCTCAAGACGAATCTCCCAAACCCAAAACCGGTTTAAGGGTGAGGCTTGACATGGGGTTTTATATGTGGTGTATTGCCGGTTTGGAAGGGTGCCTCCTGCTCATGTCGTTTGGGTGTTCTCTACTACTCTGACCCTAAACCCTACACCCTCAACCCTACACCCTAAACCCTAAACCCTAAACCCATATTCCTTAAAGCTTTGAGCTTCAAAAGTCTCTTCAATCTTGCGATGCCAGTGCCGTGGTCCCCAGAGCCTCCAAACTACCCGTCATCATGTTCCGCTTAAGTACACAAACACGGAAATGTATACAAAGAGGTTTCTGGTTTCGGGTTTCGGGTTCAGGGCTTAGGGTTATGTATAGAAAGCTACTAACTTTCAGGAGAACAAAAAACGAGACCAATGCAGCAACAAAAGCAAATGATAGACAATAATGCTAAACACAAAAAACGGCCACGCCATCTTTAGAAGGATAATCGCTCTTATTGTTGTCAGCACCACATCATTCTTGTACCTTCCAATCTGGGGGGTCATTGGCGCTGATTCTGGCCACTCTGCGGCTCTAGGTTCATGCCCCTAAACCCTAACTCCTAAACCCCAAACCCTAAACCGCACGAACCCCAGAATCTTGGTTTTGATTGTATGCTTCCCCAGAATCCGCAATAGTAACCTCCCGTGGAGATCTTGGGTAACCTTTACCTAGGGCCACCAGCTACCCTCAATAGGGTTCTCTAGCCCCCAAACGTTTAGTGCAGAATGGAGGATGGTTGGAGGGGGGGCCCGAGAACAGAAAGGCCCGGACTTAAAATCCCTTAGCCCCTGAGCCCCACACCCTAAGCCCGAAGCCCTAAGCCCTAAGCCCTAAACTCTAAGCCCTAAACTCTAAGCCCTAAGCCCTAAGCCCTAAGCCCTAAGCCCTAAACTCTAAACCCTAAGCCCTAAGCCCAACAATGGGTTCCCGGCATCGCGCTCTAGTAGCTCGTTGATCTCCACCCAGGCGTGATACCTCGAGGAGCGCTTTGAATCGGTTTATGGGATTTGGGGTTTATGGAGGGGTTTTGGGCTTATTGAGGGCTTTTAGGCTTTGTAGGCGGGGTGCAAGGTTTAAGGTGTAGAGTGCAGGGTTTAGGGTAGAAGCTATGAGGACGCCAACTGTATGCCACAAGGGGCCGCTTGCTTCTGCATTCAGTCAGACTGGACTCTAGGCCACTTTCGCGTTTGGGGTTGATGGCTGAGAAACTCGGGCTAGCCCCAAGCCTTGAGTACCCTAAACCCTAAACCCTAAACCCTAAACCCTAAACCCTAAACCCTAAACCCTAAACCCTAAACCCTAAACCCTAAAACCCATTCACTGGCGTAGCATAGGACTTTTTCCAAAGCAGGCCTTGCATGCCTTCACCAGGCCTGGCCCCAAAAAGTTGGGCATCGGGATGCGCCGGGAACCCACCTACAAGTAAGCAGGGGTTAGGAAGCTTCACGTCACTTCCGCAAGAATGCTAAACTCTAAGCCCCGGAACCCTAAACCCCAAACCCTAAACCCCTGAACCCAAACCCCAAACCCTAAGCCCCTGAACCCTTAAACCCCAAGCCCTAAACCCCTGAACTCTACACCCCAAACCCCTAACCTTAAACCCACACCCTAAGCCTCTGAAACCCTAAACCCCCAAACCCCCAAACCCTAAACCCCAAACCCTGAGCTCTATCCATCTGAGCTTGAGGCCCATCCCCGGCGGGGATGCCAATCCTGGCGAGGGAAGGATGAAGCAAAGCTGACTGCAGATTTCCCGAATTCGCGAGAGTTCAGGGTTTGGGGTTTCGGGGTTCGGGCTGAGGGTTTGGGAAAGGAGGGGGGGGGGGGTGTTGGGGTTTACGGGTTGTTTGCCCTAACCCTAAACCCTAAACCCTAAACCCTAAATTTTATTCCTTTATGTCCTGCCGCCGTGGCGCGAGTCCCAAGATGATCGTGTGGCATCCTGTTTTCGCAGAGCTTCCGATGCCCTGGCCTTCTTTTACCCTAAACCCTCGAAGCCCTCCTCAGCATTCATGTCGCTCGCGACATAGGGTCAGTTCGCTCATCAGTTTTCAACTGCAACTCCCTGCAATTCTTTTCCCAACTGAGATATTTTTGAAAATTGTTCCTTCAACTGGCGAAGGGCGAGCCTTGGTAGCTCGATGAGCCGCACCTTAACAAGAACCCCGAAGCCCAAAGCAGCAACGCTCTCAAACTTGAAGCCCGAAACCCTGAACTTCAGCCCTCTGCCCTAAGCCTTAACCCACCCCAACAACGAGGGAACCCCGCCTTTTTACGCCCGACACCCCCCCCCCCCCCTCACGAAGACTCAGGTGCGGCTGGCCTCTCCATGCCACCCCGGATCAACTCGTGGAGGGAGTCCCTAGAATCAGGGTTTAGGGTTTTTAGGGTTTAGGGTTTAGGGTTTAGGGTTTAGGGTTTAGGGTTTAGGGTTTAGGGTTTAGGGTTTAGGGTTTAGGGTTTAGGGTTTAGGGGTTAGCGTTTAGGGTTTAGGGTCTTGGGATGAGGGTCTCGGGTTTAGGGTTGTCGGGGTCTTGGGGCTTGGGTTTCTAGAGGGTTGAAAGTTCGGGGGGGGGGGGGGGAAATAGAGGCATGGCAGTTGGTAAGACATGAACTTAGCTTTGGAGTAGACCCTGGAAAAAAAGTATATACTTTTTAGGTAATAAGTAGCAATAATAGGAACCCAGAACCAAAAAAAGTATTAAAGTGTAGTACTCCAAAGCCCAGTGAAGGCTTGCTTCGCCTCCTGTGCGGGGTGTGTTTGGGGTTTAGGGTTTGGGGTTTTGGGGTTTCTCATCGATTTGGAGCTTTTGGAGGTTGCACCGCTTGCATTGAAAGGCTTTGGGGGGGGGGGGGGGGGGGGGGGAGGGGTTTTGGTTCGGGCATTCGGATTTAGGGCCCCGAAGCCCTAAATTTCAACTCCTGGGTTGCCCTACTACCCCCCTCTATACTACCCCCCTAGGTTCCCCCCTTAGATGAGCTTAATTAACCTTAATTGTCCCTAAACAGCCTTGATTATGGGGGGAACCATAGCAGGGGGTGGTAATATAGAGGGCGGTAGTAGGGGAACCCATGATTAACGGGTTTGGGGGTTAGTTCTCCGATTGGTGGGTTCAGTCCCGACGCCTAGGCCTAGGCCCGTGTACCTCCTTGGCCAGCATAGTGTTCTCTCCACTATCTCTCTTCACACGGCAGCTCTTGGCTAGGGTTTAAAGTTTAGGGTTTAGGGTTTAGGGTGCCGGCTGCGAAAATCAGTACCTTCGACACACTGCATCCCCAGAGTCTGTCTACATTAAAGGGTTACCCTATAGGGTTTAGGGTTTAGGGTTTAGGGTTTAGGGTTTAGGGTTTAGGGTGTAGGGTGTAGGGTGTAGGGTGTAGGGTGTAGGGTTTAGGGTTTAGGGTTTAGGGAGGGGAGTCACAGTCGCACGATTCGCCTCTCTGGCCCGGGTATGGTCGGACGCTGGTAGCAAACATAGCCGAAGTTGAAGTGGGTGCCTGCCAGCCCCCAGTTCATCCTACAATTGGTTCGGGTGTGGAGTTTCAGGAGCAGGGTTTAACCCTAAACCCTACCTGGAGCTCCCGAGGAGGCGAAAATTTTCTGCTTTTTTTGACGAGAACAGTTTTTTTCGTGTCCGAGTCGAGCGCTTTTCGGGATTGTTGCAGAATGAAACCATGGGGACACGCCCTTTGCCGACCGAAACGCGCCCTTTCCCGGCCAAAACGCGCTTTTTGCCGAAGACTGCTTTGCCACGCTTTGCCCAAACATGGCGAGAGCACTATTTTTCAGCGAAGAACGATTTTCCTGAGCAGCGAGTGAAATTCATGCTTTTCCAAACAACGACTAATATTTTAGTCCTTTGGCGGGTCCAGGTAAACCCTAAACCCTAAACCCTAAACCCTATAGACCCTAAACCCTAAACCCTAAATCCTAAACCCTAAACACTAAACCCTAAACACTAAACCCTAAACCCTAAACCCTAAATCCTAAACCCTAAACCCTAAACCCTAAACCCAAAACCCTAATCGGGTTTCAGGGTTGTGGCTCAGGGCTTGGAGCCACGGGGTGGCCTGTGACGCGGGGCTGTGTAAGGCTTCTGCGTGAATGGTTCCGACAACTTGGCGTTTTCGGGTTTGGGATTTAGGGTTTAGGATTTAGGGGTTTGGGATTTTAGGGTTTTTAGAGCTTAGGGTTTAGGGTTTAGGGTTCACAGGGTTTTTAAGGTTTAGGGTTTTGGCTTTAGGGTGTAGGGTTTGGTAGCAGCTGATCAGAAGTCAGGAAGGCTGGGAGGCTGCGCAAAGACCTATAGACCCTGGCTGAAACCTGAAACTCCTGCCCTAAACCCTAAACCCTAAACCCTAAACCCTAAACCCTAAACCCTAAACCCTAAACCCTAAACCCTAAACCCTAAACCCTAAACCCAACCTCCGAGGAGCGCGTGTATGGGGCGTGTATGGGGCTTGGGGTTTAGGGTTTTTGGGTATGCGGTGTAGGGTTGATGGGATTTACGGCTTTAGGGCTTCCACCCACACAAGCGCCCAAGACATGATCCCTCCCCCCCCCCCCCCACCCGACCCCTCCACACCTCCCGAAATGTATGTCGGGTTCAGCGTTTAGGGTTTGCATTACCTTGTTATCTCCTCTGCAGTGCCCTGGCGGAGGCCTTCGCCCCACCAGGCACCTCAGAAACAGGTCAGGCTGGATCAGCAGCCCCCCCTTGATGTAACCCTAAAGCCTAAACGCTCCCGCGCAGGGTTGACTGTTTAGGGTTGAGAGGGTGCTTGTTTCGGATCAGCGGTCGCTGGCAACAGTGGGGTTTTGAGAAACCCTAAACCCTAAACCCTAAACCCTAAACCCTAAACCCTAAACCCTAAACCCTAAACCCTTCGTGGATTTAGGGCTCAGGGAGATCCTGCAAAGGGAAAAACCTGACCGGCCGACTGTAGCTGTGTATGTTCTGTGCTCCAACTCTCCGAGGCTTAGGTTTTAAACCCCAACCCCTGAACCCTAAACCCCAAACCCCTCAGACCCTAGGGGCTTCTTGCAATCCAGCCCCTTGTACTTGGGATACCAAGAAGGTGTAGGGTTTAGGGCTTTAGGGCCTTTTCGGGTTTAGGGTTTAGATCTTAGTTGAAAGCACTGAGCAAGTGTCTTGCGGCCTCGTCGTCCTCAGGGTCGAGACCAAAGTACTTTCAACGGTTTCTGTCCATTAAAGGTCTAGACCTACGCAGACCGCGAACTGTAGATCCTTTCCCGAACCCTAAACCCTAATTGCATCATATAAGTCTGCAACCAGAAAACAAAGTACCCCAGACAGGGTCAAATTTTCCCTGGGTTTAACCCTAAACCCTAAACCCTTGTGGCCAGGGTGCATTCTGGAGCTGTCTTCAGATCAAACACGTCTGGCTCCTGCGCGGCGGACTTTCGTGGGCTTTGGGGGTTTAGGGGTTGGGTGGTTTAGGGTTTAGGGTTGAGGGTCTCTTTTTTGTTTGCTTTGCTTTGGTTGGTTGTGTGTGTGTGTGTGTGATTTTTGTTTTTGCTCTTTGGGTTGTGGGGATCTTGGGTTTTTTTTGGCGGGTTCAGGGTTTAGGGTAAACCTAACAACCTACACTCAAAGGGGCCACAAATCAGATCAAGGGATTGTTACGGCTTCCAAATGCATAGCCATACCTACTGGCTCTTAGCAGAGGATGAAGTAACAACCCTCAGGGTATATATATATATATATATGTATTTATTTAAATAAATAAATAAATATATATAAATAGACATATACATAAGGGGACAGAAGGTGCCTACCTCCTCGTTCCCTGCAAAGAACCCGTTGGCGTAAGCCCCAAAAACGAGACTGCCCGGTCCAAGGTTCACCTCGACAAACCCGGTGAGCCCGTCCACGTCCGAAACCTAAAAACCCCAAAAACCCTATAAAGCCTAAAAAGCCTAAAAAGCCCTATGAGCGTATATAAACCCTATAAAGCATCTAAATGTATGTACGTAGGTCATGTATGAGTATACATGTGTATACTTATTATGCTTATAGGCTTGAAGGTGCTGGGATTCTCTCGCTTCGTGTGCCACACCCCCCCCCCCCCCCTGGCCCCCCACCCCACACACAACTTCACCTCGACTTCGAAGCCGGTTTCCTAGCAGGCTGTGGCTTAGGGTTTAGGGTTTAGGGTCTAGGGTCTAGGGTTTAGGGTTTAGGGTTTAGGGTTTAGGGTTTAGGGTTTAGGGTTTAGGGTCTAGGGTTTATGGTTGAGGGTTTAGGGTTGTTTATTGCTTTCTTGGGGAGGGGACTCATCTGGGGTTTAAGCGTTGCAGGGCTATTTTAGAGAAGGGTTCGGGTTCTTCGCCAGCCTGCGGGTCTATGAGATCCCTCCTGGCAACCATCGTTCCCATGGGCAACATCCCTTGTAGAAACCCGAAACCCGAAACCCGAAACCCTAAACCCTAAACCCTAAACCCTAAACCATACAAACACGGGGGATCCCGGGACCCCTGAAACCTGAAACCCTCAAGCCGGGTAAACCCTACAGCCCGAAGTCGAAGGGCCACTGTAGAGCCGAACTTCAAGGGTTTAGGGTTTAGGGTTTAGGGTTTGGGGTTTGGGGTTTGGGGTTTGGGGTTTAGGATGTATAGGGTTTAGATGCACGTGACCTACGCAAGCTTATGCAAAGCCGCGGCGAGTACAGTAGCATTGTTGCGTGGGCCAGCGGGGATCTTAGTAAGCACTTCTCTGAATTCTCTTCTTGATTGAGGTTTCTATGTTCATACGGCGTTTCATGATGAGGGTGCTCCAAACAGGACCACTATGTGCAGAACTGCCCTCGTAGGCTTCTGGTGTGTGAAAGACAGCAGGTCATCGACCACCTACCCTGGCAGCGAGAAAACGGTTCACAAATGCCAAAGCAAGGGTTTAGGATTTAGGGTTTAAGGATTAGGGTTTAGGATTTAGGATTTAGGGTGTGGGAATTTAGGGTTTAGAGTTTAGGGTCTAGGACTGAAGTTTTAGAGTAGAGGGACACTGAGCTACAGTAAGAACTCACAAGGTCGGAGGCTTGAAGACTCAAGACCTACCACGCGAAAATCGCCCCAAGTCTCTGGCGCTTGTCCTCACCGACCCTGAGAAACATCAGGGTTTATGGCTTAATTTTGGGTTTAGGGTTTAGGGTTTAGGGACCCCAAAACCCGAAACCCTAAGCCCTAAACTCCTCCACCCCTCCTCCCAGAGCCCGGCCTCACGTAGCTCCGCCAAGGCCGTCGCCCGCGCCCCGACGTAGATGTCGGACCCATCTGGGCCGCATCGTGATCGCTCCACCTGTGCTTGGTGCCCCATTGGGGTCTGTAGAGTGTGGTGTTTTCGGGTTCTTCTCTCTAAGCCCCAAGCCCTAAACCCTAAACCCTAGACCCTAAACCTTACCCAGGAAGGCACGATAACTTGAGAACTGACCATATGTTCTCCTTACTAACCCTTTACAGCTCAAGGGTCGGTACGCTTTTAATCCTAAGCCTTTAAAGGCTCATGCGACTGAAGGGTTCATAGGGTAGGGTAGTCATAAGCAGGATTGTTGGTATGGTAGGCGTTGTACCCTTGCTTAGGATACGTATCTAACCCTACTTCTAACTATTCACGGCACGAACCTCTAGGTAGATCCCTCAACCCAGAACCATGCCATCGGAACCATCTCAACCCTGAATGCTGAACGGAGCAATGCTGGGTGCATTTCGGCTGTAAACTACCCGTGGTTGGCCAACAGTAGCTCGTAGATCCAACAGTAACCTAGGAATGAAAAGGGCAGTCTTATAGTTTAGAGAGGATCAGAAGGGAACCTCAACTAAACCCTAAACCATAAACTCTAATTAAACCCTAAACCCTAAGCCCTAAACCCTAAACCCGAAACCCTAAACCCTCAGCCCAAACCCCCACCCCAAAGCCCGATTCTGAGACCCCTTCGACACTCAGCCGCGGACGATGCCGCCAGGCGCTGCAACCTGGTTCGACTCTGACACCTCGCAGCTGGCAGGTTTGGGGCTTAGGCTTTAGCGTTTGGGGTTTCGGGTTTGGGGTTTCGGGTTTGGGGTTTAGGGTTTGGGGTTTCGGGTTTGGGGTTTAGGGTTTGGGGTTTAGGGTTTAGGGTTTAGGGTTAGGGTTTGCGGTTTAGAGTTTGGAGGTTGGGGCTGCGCCAGAAACAACCTACAGTGGACTAGAATGAAGTTACAGTCTTTGTTTTGGGGCTATAGGCCGAGGTGAGGACTCCTATGTTTGGGCGCAAACGCTGTGTAATACAAAGTGTTTTTGCTTGTCACTTTGAGATGAAGGGATAAGGCCCGAGGCTCTAAACTCTAAACCCCAAAAACTAAAGCCTAAGCCCTACGTAAGCCCTGAACCCTAAACCCTAAACCCTATACCCCGAATCCTCAAGCCTAAGCCCAACAAACCCTAAGCCCGTAGCCCTGAACCCGCAACCCTGGCACCTGCTTGCTCCTTCGATGGACGAGGAGGGACAGGTTTCCCTTGCCTTGCAGGGGTGCAAAGGTTGAGGGTTTTCTGGCTCAGGGGGGTTTGGGGTTGAGACCCGAAACGCTAAATCCTAAACGCTAAACCCTAAACCCTACACCCTAATTTATGGGTAGTTGAGGGCAGTTGAGTAGGCTTCAGCGGAGCTTACCTAGGGGATTAGTCGAGATGTGGAGTGTAGGTATTTTGGAGGAGGTCTAACCTCCCTGCCTTCCCTGTAAGCTGTAAGCTGACAGTGGGTTTAAACGGTTTAGGGTTTGGGGTTTAGGGCTAGGGATGTAAGGATTTAGGGATTAGGTCTTTAAGGTTGAGTGCTGCAGCGTTTAGGGTCTCAGCTCAAATCTTTCGGTGGCGCCCCTTGGCTCTCTAAATGGCCTTTTGCACTATGGTCCTTGGGCCTACAAAGCCCAAATATAGGAGCCTTTTCCGGCCAAACCCTAAACCCCAAACCCTAAACCCCTAGATCCCAAACCCCGAACCCCAAACCCCAAACCCCAAACCCTAAACCCTAAACCCCAAACCCCAAACCCTAAACCCTAACCCTAAACCCTAACCCTAAACCCTAAACACCAAGCTCGAACTGAAGTCTGCTCGAAGGTAAGCGATGAAAAGCCTTAAGTACTCTCTAGGCTGCCTTGCCTACAGTCTACGGGTAATTACTGGCTGGTTCTTAGTAGGGAATGAGGGAATGAAGGCCTATATCATCCCTTCCAGGGTATATATAGGGCCCTCATTCCCTCATTCCCTACTAAGAACCAGGGGGCATTACATGGTCCCTTAATATGGGCCCTGAAAAGGGTACCCCTGATTTACCCCTTGTATACCCTATACAAATTACGGAGGTAAGGGACCACATATAGGGGCCCATGAAACTACCCCAAGAAGCCTGCCCAGGAACCTAGGACTTAGGATTGAAAGGGTGTTTTTTATTGCTTAAGGGTCTTATAAGGGGACCTAACCCCCCCCCCCCCCCCCCCCCCCCGAAAGGGAATACGGGTCCTACTGGGCATCCTAGGAGATGTTTTACCCATGAACCTGCAAGTAAAAGCTCTGCTTAGTGAGGTCAGGACAGGGACTTCATTGCTCCGCAAGTGTGTTGCTTGGCGTTGCGCCTCTTATAGCCAGAGCGCAGGTTCAACGGGAAGCCCCCTAAACCTTATAAACCCTAAACCCTAAACCCTAAACTCTAAACCCTAAACCCTAAACCCGACACGAAACCTTAAACCTTAAACCCTAAACCTTAAACCCTAAACCCCAAAACCCTAAACAGCTAATTCCGTGGCCCTGGAGCCAGCCGAGCCGCAATCATCCAGGAAAAGGTACATGCCACAGGAGCCCACGTTCCTAGGGCCGAAAGATGGTTTGGGGATTAGGGTTTAGGGTTTAGGGTTTAGGGTTAGGGTTTAGGGGTTAGGGTTGAGGGTTTAGGGTTTACGGTTCAGGGCTCAGGGTTTAGGGTTTAGGGAGGCCCGTGTGATGTAAGGGCCGCTTTTATTTCAAGTATCCCCAGAAGGGCCTCATATGTACACTGGCTGATATTTGTAAGGAAATATATATATATATATACATACATATACATATATATATATATATGTGTACATATATATATATATGCATATACATGTACTTATGAATTTCCAAATACCAATAACAGTCAGATAGACCCCTCGTGCGCCGTTAGGTTTAGCAGTCAAGGTCAAGGGTAAGGGCCTTTAAGCCCTTATACGCCCTACCTTAATCTTAGGAGTTGTAACCAGGGTTGGAGTAAGGATTCATGGAAGGGGCCTTGGATCAGCAGAGTTTACTTCAGCTGCTTAGCTTAGAACACCTCCCAAAGCTCGCCGCGCGGATTCCGATTTGCCGGCCTTTGGCCGGCCCTCTCCGCTGAACCCTAAATCCTAAGCATAGTTGCATGTTCCCTTGGTATGCGCCCTTAAAGAGGTACCCCTTTTATACCCCTGATATACCCTCTACAAATTCACGGCCCATACATCAGAACCCTTTAAGGGAGGTAACGGACCATATTTAGGGCCCGTGAAACCACCCTTAGATAAATCCACAACCCTCAGCCCTGGAGGTTGCGCTAAATGCCACCCCTAAAGCCCTCAAGCCCTATGCGCCCCTGTATCAGGAAAAAATGCACAACTCGTAAACCCTAAGCCCTATAATCAACCCGATAAAGAAACCTACCCGCCCTGGAAAGAACCCGAGAAACAACACTACAATAAATCTGTGAACCCTATGAACAACCCCTATAACAAACCCTGTTAGCCCTTTCAACCCGGCAAGCCAGAACGTTCATCAACCGTATAACCCTGTAAGCCCAAGTGACATCCTTGGATGACACACATAGAGCTCTTTTTTGGTTGGGGGTGAGGTGGGGTAGGGTGGGTAAAATACGTATCAGGTGCCGAATGGGAAGAGGAGCCCCCCCCCTCCCCCACCCCCCCCCCCGCCCGAAAGGGACCAACACTTAGCCTAGTATAGGGGCCTTAGTCATTAGGATGGGGTTTCGGGGGTTAGTCGAGTATAATTACACAGGAACCATAAGGGAATACTATTAGCAATTATTCGACCCCTACAGTATATCTTATAAACCCTAACCCCTAAACGCGCTATATGTGGGCACAACGATCCCGAGCCCCAAGCCCTAAACCCTAAACTACAATTCTCTCGTCAGAGTGTCTTTGACTTCTTTGCCTTCCCCATGGCAGAGAGCGTTGCTCTTGCCAGTGTCGGAAGGGGTCGGTGTGGGCGCGTGGCAGCCAGGGGTGTCCCTTTAGGATTTAGGGGTCTAGGGTTTAAGGCTTGGGGCTTAGGGTTTGGGGTTGACTTTACAAGGGAGCCGAGAACACAAAAAGGGCAAAGAGTACCACAGGGCTACCAAGTTTTCACGGGTTAACCCCCTCCCCCTAATATTAAGCCCCCCCCTACCCCCTAATATTAACAACCCCCACAATATACTATAATATAACTGTAATGGGGGGTACTTAATATTAGGGGTAGGGGGGGGGGTTTAATATTTGGGGGAAGGGATTATTGTGGTTCAGGGTCTGGATCTCGTCTTTTGGTCTTGGACCTGAGCTTTTGGCCTCAGGGTCTGGGGGTTTGGCATTCAAGAGAGGTGTTCAATGCGCCTTCCACGACCCTAAACCCTAAACCCTAAACCCTAAACCTAAACCCTAAACCCTAAACCTTAGACCCTAAACCCTAAACCCTAAACCCTCAACTTGGCCCTCAACCCTACACAGATAGGGTTCATGCTTGAGGCATCAAGGGTTTAGACATTTCGAGAAGCTTGAGCACGAGAGAAGGATGCGATCTCTAGCCTGGATCAGGGTTTAGGGTTTAGGGTTTACGGGTTAGGGTTTAGGGGTTAGGTTTTAGGGTTTAGGGTTTAGGGATCATTAGTGGCGGTTTCCGGTTTATGGTTTATCCTCAACCCTAAGGGGCAGAAAACTCGAAAAGCGCCTGAAACTGCATGTTCCAACGCTTTGATGGGCTCTAACCCTGGAATACTTCTGGGGTCACCCCATCTGTGCCTTGCAATGGGAATCGCGGGTAAACCCTAAACCCCTCCACCCCCCCTAACCCCAAACCCTTAGTAGCCCAGTAACCATATTATAATAAGGGCACCCTTTTTTCGGTTGGTGACTTCATAAGGGAACCAGAACCAAGAAAGGGAAAAGGGTACCAGTGGGCTACCAAGAACCCTAAACCGCGAGACCCCAAAGGTAAGAAGGGTCTAAGGCTGAGGGTTGAGATCTCCAAGGGCACACGTGCTCAGATAGATGGGGTAGACTACCCTAGCCCCTAGGCCTACTGGTCCTGAACCAAAAAGCCCTAAACTTTGAAACCCACATCCTAAAATACCCTCCAAACCCAAACTTCCCCTGACCCCCCCTAAACCCTAAACCCTCAACCCTAAACCCTAAAAGCCCTAAAACCAAAACACAACAACAGCCAGTTAAGAGGGTTGAACTTGGGGTTGAGGGTTTGGGGTTTCATGTTTTAGGTTCTAGGGATTTAGGGTTTAGGGTTTAGGGATTTAGGGTTTAGGGTTTGGGGGTTTAGGGTTCAAGCATAAAGCAGATACAATAGCGGGGAAGATCAGCGGAAACACGCCAGGGCCAAACCTCCAAAAACCCGCAACCCGAAACCCGAAAAGCTCTAAAACCCTACAAACCCTCCAAACCCTTTAAACCCTAAAAAACCCAAAGCCTACACCCCTCAACCCCAAAGCCTCTATAAACCCTGAACCCCTTAACCCCAAAACCCTCAACCCTAAACGTTAGCCCTAAACCTTAAACCTAGCCCGAACCCCCGAAACCCTAAGACCCTAAAGCAGCACAAGTCAAACTGAAGAGTTGCTTGGGAAAGGAAACGGTTCCCACCCCGCCAATTTGTTTGGGGGGGTCGCCGCGCCACGCGTTTATAGAGGGTCCAAATTTGTTGGTGGGGGGAGGGGGGGGGGCCCATACTAAAGACAGTGCAACATTAAACTGTAAAGAAGTGCTGGATGCTGGCTGCAATGTTCAGGGCTGTCTTGAGTCTTGTTGGAAGCAGGCTTAGCCAACTGCAGGTTCTGAAACCCGAAGCCAAACTTCAGCCCCTAAACCCTAAACCCTAAACCCTAAACCTTAAACCCTAAGCCCTAAACCCTAAACCCTAAACCCTAAACCCTAAAACCCCAAACCCTAAACCCTAAACCCTGAACCCTGAACCCTGAAACCCTAAAGCCACACCTGGTTTGCGGACATGCGCGCCGCACATCTCCCCGGGAGGGAGTCTAGGTCGGTTGGACATTAAAAGGCCCCACAGGCGGGGCAACGGACTCTGCAGCAGGGTTTTGGCTTTTAAGAGTCTTAAGTGTATAGGACGTATGGGGTTTGTGAGTTTATAGGGTTTCCAGGGTTTAGGGTTTATAAAGGGCTATTAAGTTCTATAGGATTTAAGTGAGGGAAATGAAGATATACCGATGGCCTGACCCACGTTTATGTAGCTGCCCTAGCTTTCTTGCCTAAACCCTCGTCAGAGAACGGGCCTGGCGGGAGAGGAAAGTCTTGGACCTTTCCTGCCGCAAGCTAGCTTGCACCGGATGCTCTTTGGCACACTGCCGAGTTTTCGGCTATGATATGTGCATGCATCCGATATCCCCCCGCCCAACCCCCAACAGCCCCCAAATCCCCACACACCCAATCTTCAATCATCATACCTCCCATGTCGAAAGTCACCCAAACCCGCCACAAAAGCAAGCGCGAGGCACAGCAGACCTAAACAAACCCTACCAACCCTCTTGCCGGAGCCAGACCCGCTACAGGCCTGACTGCTTCACCTTCTTGCAGTAAAGCTGGAGGAACTCACTCAAGGTGGCATTCAGCCGCGGCATCTGGCAGGAGCTTAGGGTTTTGGGTTTAGGGTATGGGGTTTGGTGTTTAGGGTTTAGCGTTTAGGGCACCATGCCATAAACTTGCACAGCCAGTACTAAACCCAAAGCAACTGCACTTGTAGAGTCCAGGTAAGAAGAGTAAACCTGCTAGTTAGGCTATAAAGAACAACTAACGCCATAAAGGTTTAGGGTTTACAGGCTTCAGGGCTTGTAGGGCTTAGGGGTTTACTTACAAGGGCACCCTTTCGACAACGGGGCTTTGGGGTCTACGAAGTACGCTGATCCCTAAAGCCCTTCCTCCCCCCCCCCGCCCCACCCCACCCCCCCCCCCCGCCATACACACAAAATCCTCTGCATATGGGTGCGCAGGACGCCAAGCTTCAAGCCTCCAAGAACCTCCCTGCGCCAAAGGGGCGAACACAGGCCCAACATCTGGCGCAGCGGGGATTTCTATACTTCCCTTAGAACCATAGTACAACAATCCTTTTAGTGTTGCCCTTGGTTTTATATGAACAATATCAAACTTGTTAAAGATTATGGCTATAGGGAATGATGTTAGTCACGGCAAGATAATGATTCCTTTAAGCCTCCATCCGCCACAACCTGGTTTTGGGTTTAGGGTTTAGGATTTAGGGTTTAGTGCCCCGAACCCAATCAGAGTCTTCCCTGCGGCACCTTCTCGCGCACAAAGTCCACTACGTGCCCGAGGTGTGCCCGACAAGCATCGCAGTGCGGGAGGGGGCGAAGCCCGACCTCATAACGCTACACCCTAAACCCTAAACCATAAACAGGGTCTAGGGTTTAGGGACTCGGACCCAAGGCTTCAGGAAGTGCCGCAGCACCCTACACCCTAAAGCCCTGAAACTGACACCCTTTATCAACCCCTGAGTCTGTCTAGCTAGTAACCCTAAACCCTAAACCCTAAACCCTAAACCCTAAACCCTAAACCCTAAACCCTAAACCCTAAACCCCATGTCCGGTTCAGTTCAGATGTCGCGATGGGGGCCCCGAGAAATCTCTGGGTAGAGTTGGGACTTCGCTTCATGATGGCTTAGGAACCGGTATCCCGGTAAGCTAGGCGTTAGTGATGACACAGTTCTGACGTATTCTGACCCTAACCCTAAACCCTAAACCCTAAACCCTACTCCCTAACCCTACTCCTGTATGCAGTACTGCAGTCTTGCAATACATGAGCCCCACTCCAATCTGGGCACTGAAGCTAGTCGGACTCACTTCGGCGGCAGGGTCCGAAAGAGGGTAATACAGGGGCCTTAATTAGAATACTCTAGAGCCTGATGCAACGGGACTTAGCTGTCCGACGGACCCAAAGCTTCAACCAAAAAGCCAGCGAACCTTTCTTGGGCCTCAATCGGGTTTAGGGATGGTTTGGGGTGGTGGTTTCTGGATTTGTAGGGTATAGGATGTAGGGACAGCAGCGCGACTTTTGTAGTAAGGATAGGTGGGGCTCAGATTCAGATTTCTACGGCACGCCATAAATTTGCCATAAAAGCTGCCTGGGCGGGAGGGAAATGGGAAAAAATAAGGGGGGTGATGGTCCCGGATGAAGGAATTACGCGAGCCCTTCCCCCTAATATTAACGCCCCCCGCCAATGAACTCGAAATGTGTTTTTTATTATTAGGGGGGAGTTTATCCAAATGTCATGTTTGGGGTCCAAAGGGTTTAGGGTGTAGGCTTCAGGCTTTGGAGGGTTTAAGAAATGACTTAACCCTGAGGAGGGCTGGGAGGGAAAGGAGGGAAGGGAGCTTCAGGATGTTGGTGGGCTTGAGGGCTTGGGTAGCCCCTGAACCCCCCCATCCCCCCGCCCTAAATCGGAATAGGGTTTGAAAGGCTGGGTCGGTTTCAGCAGGATTTCCGGAAAGTGTTTTTATACTTAGGGGGGCGTTTAAGAAAAGGAAGGGATTATACCCTTTTTGCAGGTTGGATGCTTTACCGGGAACCTTGTACCCCAAACAACAACGGAACAGGGCACGACTGGGCTAAACTGTAAACCGCAAACACGAAATCCTAAACTGCGCAGTAGACAAGACCAAACCGAGCTTCTCAGGGTTCCAGGCCCGAGGCATCGTTTGTTTTTTTTGTTTTTAATTCGTTTTGTTTTTTTTTGGTTGGGGGGGGGGGGGGGGCAACCCTGAACCCTCAAACCCTCTAGCGTTAACTTAAACCCTGTATGTATACATAAGAAACTAAACCCACCCCTACACCCCAAGACGGCCCTTAAACCCTACTTGAAGGTTCGTGGTACTTATTAACCAACTATAACTGTACTTAGAACTGCAAGTATAACCATATTAGGGCACTTAAGGGGCTTATAAGTGGGTTATAAGTACAGTTACCCTAAACCCTAAACCCTAAACCCTAAACCCTAAACCCTAAACCCTAAACCCTAAAATTGGTTAGTAAGTACCCTGAACCTCCAAGAAGGGCCCCAATCTGTAGAGCTGGGTGGCCTGAATTTCTGCAGCTCTGGCAAGTAGCTGGCGCATCCTGGGAGGCCTAAACCCTAAACCCTAAACCCTAAACCCTATACCCTAAACCCTAAACCCTAAACCCTAGACCCTCAACCCTAAACCCTAATCCCTAAACCCTAAACCCTAAACCCTGAACCCTGAACCCTGAACCCTAAACCCTAAAGCCTAAACCCTAAAGCCTAAACCCTAAACCCTAAACCCTAAACCCTAAACCTTAAACCCGAACCCTAAACCCCGAACCCCCGAAACCTCCTGGATCAAAGCCAACCTTGACACACCATGCATTTGAAACACACGTCCATTGTGGGGGCGAGTAGATTGTTGGGAGGGAATGGAAATGTTTGGTACGGAAATCAGAGTATAACTTCCTTGGAATTGTGAAGGGGATAGGAGCGCTAAGTATTTAGGGTCCTGCGTTGCGGGAAATTGAGAGTTCAAACCTTGGCACAGGGTTTCAAGTTTCTGAACGTCACGCCCTCGACTTCCAATTCCGCTCTAACACTAGGCCGTCCTTAACGACACAGAACCCAGAAACCCGGTATCCATGCCTTCAAGAAGGAAGCCTAAACCCTGTAATCACTAAGCTGCATGAATCAATGGAGGTCCTAGGAGGACAAATGTTCGTCTCCGTATCCCTCCCTCCGCAACCTCACTAAAATCCTAAACACCCAGTAACCCGCCAGGCTTTGGACATGTGGAATGTAGGGTTTCGTGTCGTCTTTCCAGTCACATACCAGACGTTGAGTTTTTCGTTCTTTTGGGTTTATGGGGTTCACAGGGAATTGGGTGTGCAGACTTTGTCGGGTTTAGGGATTAGGATGTATGGTTCTCGGCGGCTTAGGGCCGTGCTGGCCCTCATCCAGGTAGGCAGTGGGAAAGACCCATCCTCGGGAAAAGTTTCAGGCTTAGCTACATTGGGTTTCGGTAGGGGTTTGGGTTTCGGTAGGGGTTAGGGTTATTGGCTGCTGCCATGCTCTAAAACGTAGGGTTTAGGGTTTAGGGTTTAGGGTTTAGGGTTTAGGGTTTAGGGTTTAGGGTTTAGGGTTTAGGGTAATTCTTGTTCGCAAATCAGGGTGTTAGGAGTTTTTGTCAGGGAAGAACTTGGCACTGCCAGTTTTGCCCCGCAGGGTCGGCGCATGAGTTTGCCAAAAGAGACTCCAAAAAAGCCCTAACCTGACAAAGCATACCCTAAACCCTAAACCCTAAACCCTAAACCCTAAACCCTAAACCCTAAACCCTAAACCCTGAACCCTGAACCCTGAACCCTAAACCCAAAGGTTGGCCTGAATCCTAGAGTTCTAGGGCAATGGATCGGCATAACATGCATGGACGTAATCTTGGTCGCCCGCGCAGTAACCATCTTACAATAAGGGCATATAAGGGCACCCTATTTAGGGTTTAGGGTGTAGGGTTTAGGGTTTAGTGTTTAGTGTTTAGGGTTTAGGGTTTAGGGTTGGTTGCCTTTGTCTTGTTCGACCTCAGCGGCTTTCGCAGAAATGTTGCTACACCGGGGCAGGTGCTTGGTTTCCCTTTTCCATGGACACCTGTTTTTTTGGCTGGGTGCTTTAGGGAACCTTGAACCAAGAAAAGGATGAAGGGCACCACTGGGCTACAGTACCATGACGCTCTGGGCGGGAAGCGATGCCGGGGGGGGCTGACCGCAGGTGAGATGGAGATAGCTGTGCGACGTCATGCAAGCTCGTTAAGACCCCCTGAGCCCTACAAACCCTAAACCCCACCCCACCCCCCCCTCCCCTCCCTCCCCCCCTCCCCTCCCCTCCCCCCCTCCCCCCTCCCCCCTCCCCCTCCCCTCCGCCCTCCCTCCCCCCTCCCCTCCCCCCCCTCCCCCCTCCCCCCCTCCCCCCTCCCCCCTCCCCCCCCCCAAAACCCGAAACTTTAAACCCTAAACCCTAAACCCTGAACCCTAAACCCTAAACCCTAAACCCTAAACCCTAAACCCTAAACCCCAAACCCTAAACCCTAAACCCTAACCCCCCCCCCAAACAAAAAAGAAACACCCAAAGTCCCCCGTGCTCGGAGGCCGACCCATCATCTTGAACTCCGCCTCCGCGAAGTCTGGCAAGGCCTCCCCCAGCGCAGGGCAGAGCGGACTTCGCTTCTACTTTTCTTTAATGTAGATGAGGTCTAAAGAGCCCCTAAACCCTAAACCCTAAATCCTAAACCCTAAACTCTCAACCCTAAAACTTAAGCCACAAAGGCCCATCCGGATCGGCGTTCTTCGGCTTCAATATGAGCTGAAGCTCGCAAGTATCGGGGTTCTTTGGCTTCGAGAGCCAAGAAAGTGACCTCAAGATGTTGAGGGCTTTGGGGGGTTTAGGGTTTAGGGTTTAGGGTTTAGGGCTTAGGGCTTAGGGTTTAGGGGCCAAGAATCACTTAGAACGGGTGTGTTTTTGAATTCTAGAGGTGTTAACGACTTAGCTTAACTCACGAGAACGGATCTGCTGGGCAGTTGTTTATTCCACCTCCATCAAGTATCATGTCTTCGGGTAAGTTCAGGACCCATTCAGTGTTTAGGGGTCACAGAGAAGCTCAGCTTCCGAAAAGGTTTGCGCGAGCGCAGGGCTTCGGAGAAGCCTTCTGCGCGCTCCCGCGGAGCAATGCGGAGCGAGCTTCGGACACCGCTGCTGACGATATGCCTGTCTCTGGGGCGCGTGCCCAGAACGGTACCCAGCTGGCCCCTGTGGCATCTGACGGGGACAATCCTGAGCCCCTGCAGGACCCATTTAGTTAGAACCGCTATTTTTGGGTGGATTTGAAGACTGTTATACATCGGATCATGCTCCCTAACCCTAAACCCTAAACCCTCAACCCTAAACTCTAAACCCTAAAGGCCCTAAACCCTAAACGGTGCCTCCATGACCATTGCTGCCAAGTCCTTCATGAAGCGCACGTTGAAGCCTGGGCGTCTGGTCGTCCCTGAGATACCCGCGGTTTAGGGGGTTTAGAGGTTTAGGGGTTTAGGGCTTATAGGTTTTTAGGTTTAGAGAACCAAATCTGAACCCCATGAACGCCCCAAAACCCCTTACGTAAGGAATACTCCCGAAAACATACTTGGGATGATGAGAACCCGACTTCTGGTTGGAAACTCGAAGTCCCTGGACCCTAAATTCTTTGACTTCCTCTGCTCCTCCCCCGTCCCTTCAAGCTTGCGTGAAGAACAAGGGATCGCCCTCTTCTTACTGTTGGTTCGTAGGGAATGAGGGAATGAGGTACCTATATAATCCTATATAATCCTTGAAAGGGTATATTGTAGGGGGCTATAGGGTACCCCCATTCCCTACTAACCAACAGTAAGCCTTCGGCCGTGTCCATCCCCTGACCCTACATTTGACCTATCCGGGCAAGTGAGAAAGAGCAGGAGAAGGGGTCTAGGCTAGCGGCTAGCACCAGTTGTAAGCTGTGGTAGGGCCTTTCCACGTTTTACAGGTTTGGGACCCCACACCCGAAAGCATTTCCTTGAGCAATCTTCGCCCAACAAGAAAACAAATACGACTTCCTGCCAAAACTGCGTTGCAGGATGCATATATGAGGCATGCCGGCGATACAAGCAACCACAGCATACCTGAAGGAAAAAAACAACCTGGCTTGACACATCAACGCTTATAGTTGCCAAGACCATCTACCCCCCAAAAGGGAGAAAGACGTCATCAGAGCGGACCACAGACCAAAAGGCTGACTCAATCCTGGTAATCGCCTGAATTTCCCTCAGAAAAAGAAACGTATAAACGGAAATCGGTCAAGTCTTTCCCTTTTGCCAATCCTCAACAGCCTCCCAACACCCGTTAACGCACAATCAAGCGCTGTCCTCCTATCTGGTGCCAGGAGACAGCGGGATGCGGGGGTGGCTCCATCTTTGGCATAGACCCCACTGCCGCCTCAGCAGTCCGTTCTGAGTCTGTCGACATGGTGCGAGGGCCACCCTGAACTCTAACCCTGAACCCTAAACTCCCTATATCTTCTGGCCACTCTCGGGCGGTTTAGGCGGTTGCTGGACGTTCTTCGCACCCACGTCCCAACCCTAAACACCTGAAATCCCCAATCCTAAGTCCTACTCGGAGGATCGGTGGAAGCTGTACTTTGTTCGATTTCAAGCAACCCTAGAACCTGGCCATACTTGGGCATTTTTTCTCCTCTGATTTCCGAGGTTTAGGGTTTAGGTAGACAACCTACTTTGTAAGTCCCCCGATCCTCTAGAAGGAAGCCATGGGTTTAAGATCTGGAGCTTGTCGGTTTAAGGCTAAACCCTAAACCCTAAGCCCTAAACCCTAAACCCTAAACCATCCCTAAACCCTAAACCCTAAACCCTAAACCCTAAACCCTAAACCCTAAACCCTAAACCCTAAACCCTAAACCCTAAACTCTAAACCCTAAACCCTAAACTCTGGCCCACCTGTTCTACTCGCGATACGGGATCTTGCCCCACATTACCAAGCTTCTGACCGCATTCTCGTGCCCGGCCAAAAATACTCCCTAAATCCTAAACCCCAGACCCGCTGAGAATAGTTACCAAGCTCCGTGCCGACTCCGTGTGGTCCTCACCGTTTGCTCTTCCAAAGGGTATTAGAGCGGGGGAACCCCCCGGGAGAATGACATGTTTCGGGAAATTCCTAAACCCTAAACCCCACGGTTTAGGCAATAAGGAGTTGTGCAATCGAAGAGGAACTTGTAGTTTCGAGACTATACACGACTTGTAAACCCCAAACGCCAAACCCTGAAGCCAAAACTCTACAGTTTGGGTCGGGCTGGCAGCCTCCGATCCCAATTCGCCGAAGAAAGAGCGCTGGACTCTTGCCAGAGTCACTCGGCTTAAGGTTTAGGAATTCTGGTTTGGGATGGCCTGGAGCTTTTGGCTCGATGGCTGCTAAGCCACCATCCCACCAAAGGCCCCGGCATTCAGTAGCGAGGAGAGGGTTTAGGGTTTAGGGTTTAGGGCTTAGAGGGAAGGCTTGGCATCCGTAAGCCACAACACCCTAAACGTGCTTGCCCTGCCTGCTGCATAATGTTTCAGGATTTCGGGATCCAGCTTTGTGGGATTTGAAGCAGCGTTTATATACCCTGTATCCCCAAACGGACACCCAATATGTACACTCACCAAAGTTAAAAGGAACCTTAGAAAACACTCACCAATAACCCTAAACCTTATAAACCCTAAACCCTAAGCCATAAACCCTGCTTCATTTGCGGTTGCGGAATTGAGGGTTCGAGCGGTCGGGATGCAAGAGCTTGGGGGGCCTTTTGATTCCTTAATTCGGGTTCAGGAGCTAGGTTGTTTGGAGTTCAGGGTTACATGGATTAGGGTTTAGGGTTTAGGGACCTGGCTTAGGGGTTTAGGGCTTAGGATAGCCCTACATCCCAACAGTCCCTTCTCTCCCTCCTGGAAGCAGGAGTTGGCCAATGGCACCCGCAATGGTGGCAGTCGCCAGGGGAGTCACGCGCCTGACGTCAATGGACCAAACGCGGCAGCACCCCGAAGGTTTGGGGTTTGGGGTTTAGGGTTTAGGCTTTAGGGTTTAGGGTTCAGGGTCTTCACGTATACGGGAACTACCCTGAAATAGCCGAACAATACCCTAAGCCCTCCATCCAGAAGAGATCTCCTGGAAACTAAGCCCTCAGAGCTCTCTCTAAAGTGACCGATAAAATGAATCATTGAAGCATAACAGGGTTGCTCCAAACCCCACATCCTGAACTCTAGAGCCTAAGACCCTTGTCCCTTAACCCTGAACTCTGAGCCCTGAACTCTAAACCCCAAACCCTTCAAACCCTTCACACACATTGAACCCTGAACCCCAAATTCCTTTTAACCCAAGCCTTGAAACCCGAAACCCTTTATATTATACCGATTCCAGCCCGTTAGGCCCTTTATTTGCACCTAAACCCTTTAAGCCCGGAACCGTAAACCACGAACCCTTCATACCCCGAACCGCAAGCCTTTGCTTACACCCTAAACCCTAAACCCTAAACCCTGAACCCATCTAAACCCAAATCCTAAACCCCCCCACCGAGCTCTCCAGATTGCTAGGGCCGCCACTCCTGGCGGAAGAGCTCCTGGCACCAACCATCTTATAGGTCTTAGGGTTCAGGGTAGGCAGTGCTTATGGTATTCTTTGTACCGCCAAACTTCAACGTTACAAAGGCAGGCGCGCCCATCACAGGGAAGGGCATAAGATTAAAGCCTACACCCTAAACCCCCACCTATAACCTATAGACAGAATTGCAAGGCACTGGATCAGGTTTTGAGCATTCTTATAACTAAACTTCGAAGCCCAAAGCCCTAATCCTAAACCCTACACCCAAAAACCCCAAACCCTAGAAGTAGTGTACTAAAAACGGCTCCACTGCACCCTTGTTCTGAATCATCCCCCATGCAGAGTTAAAGCAGCAGGGATCAGTTCAGGGTTTAGGGCTGAAGGCCTAGGGCTTCGTGTTTCATGCAGATCAATGGAGCCTAAGGGTTCATATGTACCCATAGAGTATTTACTTGGGCCTTAAATAGGTTCCCATATAAAATATAGTAGCTTTACGGCCCAAGTATACATTTTATGGGTACATGGACCCTTAGGGGGTTTGGGGCCCTTCTCAGATGGACTGACCTTCAGCAGAGTCGAATGCAACATGGTAAACCGAAAGCCCAAATTGCCAAAACCCAGACAGGAGACCACCCAAAACCCTAAACCCTTAGAACACGAGAACAGAAGTCTCCTTGGTTATGCCCTGAAGCCACTGGCTCCCGTTCCTAAACACCAAAACCCCAAACCAAAAAACTAAACGCCCCTTGAAGCCATTCAGGATGAACGCCTAAACCCGGAGAACCCTGCAACCAACCCCCCCCCCCCCCCCCACCAAAAAACAAAAACAAAAACCTAAGCAACCATACCCCGTTTAAAGCCTTAGTAAGGATGGTAAACGCGAAACCCTAAACCCCAAACCCTAGTCCTTCAGCCGAGCCAGCTGCCCATCGAGGCGCTCCTCTCCGAAACTCTGACTCTGTGTGCGTTCTCGGCATGAGGGGTTAGGGTTTAGGGTTTAGGGTTTAGGGTTTAGGGTTTAGGGTTTAGGGTTTAGGGTTTAGGGTTTAGGGTTTAGGGTTTAGGGTTTAGGGTCAGGGTTGACTGATCCAAGGGATCCAGGACCCTAGAACTATGGAATGGTACAAAATAACAAGAGACTGTACTGCACACTACTATATTGTTTATATGTACTATGTATACTTATATATTTTCTGCATATGTACATGGACATTTGTTTGAATGTTTTGCTCAGGGATTTCAGGTTCGTTAGAGCATGGAGAAGGTAGGAAATGAGGCAAACATTGTAGCAGAGTCGTGTCAGAAAACTTGCTGATGCTGTTGAGGACTCTGTGGAATGACTAGGCAGCGAACCCTCAACGTCATGATGCTCCTGCAACATGGGCTTCTTCTACTAGACGGCTTCTCAGGGACCGAGTTGTGTGCAGCTTCCGTTAGAAGTGGTAGAACTTGGGGTATGCCCCTCAGCCAGAGCTGGTAATTATAGGGTATAGGGCCGGTATAGGGTACAGAGTTTAGTTAGGGTTTGGGGTTTAGGGCCAGTTTAGGGTTCTCTTCTTGCAGGGATTCGGGAAGGGGTCCTGGCAGCCCGTGCCAGACTGCGCCAGCGCCTGATGCAAGGAATCGGTGCGGCTGGGCTCGCTGCATCTTTGGGGAAGCACAATAAGGGAGTTTACGAACATAAGGGACCCGAAATGGTAGGATTCTCTTATAATAAGGACCCCAATAAGGTACCCCGAAGATCGTAAACCCCCCATATGGGAGCCCCAAAAACACCAATATCATAACCTCGAAGCGACCACACATCTTTTGTAAATACCAGCATGATAAGATTGAAGCTACTATGTGTGCACACTAAAAACACGACCTAAATTGAATACCGTACCCGCTACCGGCCAGGCTTCACGGGCCCCGACGGCGACCCAAGAAAGGGACATGTTCTTTCATTGCTACTGTTTGGGCGGGGGAGAGGCAATGGATGGTCCTTACATTGGGTGACCCTAAGCCCTATACTTGCCACCAACATCTATGGGCAAAAAGTGCAGGTTTCCGTTTTCAGGTTTAGGGTGCCGTTCAGAAACAGGACATACTCAAACGAATGCCTGCATGGTGGCCCTCTGCCCCGAGAATCGCAACGCAACGGTCTCTGCAGCCCGAAACACAAGTGAAAAGCCCTAAACATACACACTAAACTCTAAACCCCAAACCCTGAACCCTAATAGCATCTAGAAACTTTGCTTGACCCTCAAAAACCCTCGAATTCAGAGCCTTACCACCCTGTCTTAAACCCTAAATCCGAAACCCTAAGCCCTAAACCTGAACCCTTTCTAACCCTTTTGTGGGCTTCAGGGCTTTCATCGCGGGAGCCTTGAGCCCACTGACGACAGAGGCCAGGTTCGCGGTCAAGGTCTCCGCCTTGGATTCTTTAGGGCTGTCAGGCTTTTGGGGTTTAGGGTTTAGGATTTAGGGTTTAGGTTTTAGGGTTTAGGGTTTAAACCCTAAACCCTAAACCCTGGGTCTTTAGGGTAGGAGTTTCGGCTCAGTTCAGGGTTCAGAGTCTGCAGGGTTTCAGGCTTAGGGGTCAAGGGTTAAGGGTTTCGGGAGATCAGGACTTCGGGTTTAGGGTGCTGTGATTTAGGGTTCAAGGTTGGGGCTTGGGGGTGTTTGGTGGTCAGGCTGGAAAGAGGAATGTGTTTGTCTAAACAGCATGAACATGGAAATAGATGGTCTTCTTTGAAATTGAAAATATCGATTGTACTGAATTGAACTTGAGTTCTATACATAATATTACATCGCATGTATATATACACACATAATGATCTGTTTTTGTTTGCTGACTCCAATACGCTATGCTAGATGATATTGTATTGTTCTTACTGTAGTCATATTATAAACCCGTACCTTAAATTGTATCAGGGTGCTTGTCTACAGGCAAAATGGGACCCCAGACCAAATCACCTACGTACCCATAAGTACGTGGGCTTCAAGTAGGGAGCCTCGCATTGCTAACTTCCATCCCTACTCCCTTAACAGGAAATCTAGTCAGGGGCTCATAGTAGGCGTTGGGATGTCGAGTTTGAGTGGACAGGTTTGCGTTGGGCCCTTCACTCCGTGATTCTAGACTCGAGCCCAAGGAAGGGCTCACTCCCCCCGCTAGCTTCGTAGGGTTTAGGGTTATCAGGGTTATTAGGGTTATTACAGTAGGGTTATTAGGGTTATTAGGGTTATTAGGGTTATTAGGATTACTAGGATTATTAGAGTTATTAGGGTTACTAGGGTTATTAGGGCTATCAGGGTTTAGGGTTATTTCAGGTTTAGGGCTGCATGTTGATCTACCAGCTTGGGCTCTAATGAGGGTCCAGGTAAGCCTTAGAACCCTTCAAGGCAATGCGCGGAAACCGCTTCAGCCATGGCTTTGGCGGAGGCCCGCAGATCCTGCGGAGGTGAGTTGACGGAGGCTGGGGGGGGGGGGGGGGTTGAAGTCTTGGAAGGCGTGGAGTTGAGGTGTTGTTAGGGTTTAGGGTTTAGGGCTTAGGGATTTAGGGTTTTAGGGTTTAACGTTTTAGGGCTTTAGGGTTCTTTTGGTTTTAAGGTTTGACAGCTTTTTTGGCTAATGCAGGCTGTAAGTCTTGGAGTCTTGGTGCCATCGGAGTATGGTACGCTGCAAAGGCTTCCGGATTCAGGTATCATCCCGAATCATCCCATTGGGTTCCGAAGCCTTATATGGGTTTAGTGTTTAGAGTTTAGGGGACCCTATACCCTGAACCTTGTGCCCTTGTACCCTATACCACATACTTGATATCCTGTAGTTCCTAAACATCCCAAAGCCTTATGCCCAATACACGAAGCCCGACATTGCAGCTTAGCAGGGTACTTACCACGAGCGGCGCCAGTCATGCAGGGTTTAAGTTTTCGGGTTTATCTGCAGGGTGAGTTTAAAGCCTAAATGAGCGAAAGAAATCCCATCTCACAGCCTGAAGCAGGCAACGCACAAAGCAGCTAGACAGCTCTCAACATCATTGGACTCTCAGCCTACACTCTCCTAAACCCTAAACCCTAAACCCTATAACCCCAAAAGGGTGGAGGTAGGGTGTCGGGTTCAGGGCCTTGGAAGCTTCTGTCCCATATAACTACAACCACAACTCTGGTACTTTCCAGCAGGCCCCATGTATGGAGTTAGATGAAACTTAAACTTGAAGTAGGTGCCGATGGGTTCGAGAATGTTTTTGCCTTTGACCTAAACTAGGATGGCCCCTAACACCATCTGAAAATTATCCTAGAGTAAATACTTCCTCTTAAAGCCAATCAGGAAAACTATAAAATGTCCCAAGAGCAGCGAGTAAAAAAGAGCTCTGAAGACCTTCCCCCTAAACCCTAAACCCTTTGAAACCCTAAACCCCAAACCCTAAACCCTAAACCCTAAACCACGCGCTTTTGTCATTGGCATGCTAGCTCGCTTCCTCTGCCTGGGGCACAAGGCCTTCGTGCCAGGCCTCCACTGCCCTGCTTGCGGGTGTACATTGAGTTAGAGGGGCGCAGGGTACTAGAACAGGGTTTAGGGTTTAGGGTTTAGGTTTAGGGTTTAGGGTTTAGGGTTTAGGGCTTAGGGTTTAGGGCTTAGGGTTTAGGGTTTAGGGTTTAGTATGGTTAGGGTTTAGGGCCTCAAGAATTAGAATAGGGTGTTGGGGGGTTGTTATAGTATAGTTTTATATTACTAAGGGGATATCACTATTCGTACTTATTCCGACCCCTATAGTGCTCGTATAGGGCAGGAGTCTAAAGTCTGCAAGCCAGACCTCAAGTCTTAAGTTTTAGTTTAGGCTTTGGGGCTTTGGGTTTAGGATTTCGGGTTTAGGGTTTAGGGTTTAGGGTTTGGGGTTTAGGGTTTAGGGTTTAGGGTTTAGGGTTTAGGGTTTAGGGTTTAGGGTTTAGGGGTGTAGGTTGCTAGTCTCAACCCAAAGCCAAGTCCACCCGCATAGATGTACACTTGCTGACGTGACTGTTTCTCAACACCTGCCCCTCCAGCCAGGCAAGTGAGAAGTAGGGGACCTTAGCCGTAGCATGCCAGAAATGTATTTGCATTCTGAGTTCCTGAAACCCTTGTTGAAGTGAACCCTGCAGACTTTGGGGGGAAGGGGGGGACATTTTGAGAAACTGTCGCGTGCAAGGCTTCATGGCTTTTGCCAGTGTAGCGTGGGATTCTCCCTTTCCTCCGGAAACCTCTTGCGCTACCACGCATGTAAAAAGGTGCCGGCAGCTACCAAGAAAAGACGGCAGAGGGCATCTAAATGTTTAATGGTTAGGGCTTGTGGTTGGCTTATGGTTTTAGGGTTTAGGGCCCCCATGAGCCTCAAAAAGGCCGTAGAAGCCCCCAAGCACCGAAGCCCTCATTCCCTCAAGTCCTCAAGCCCTGCCCCTCGATGCCACGCACCATGCATCCTCAGGCCCGTGATTTCATATCCACACCCCAGGGCGCAGGCCCTAAACCCTAAACCCTATAACCCCAAAGCGTGGAGGTAGGGCTTCGGGTTCAGGGTTTCGGAAGCTTATGTCCCTTTAACTACAACCACAACCCCTGCCGTGCAACTGCTTTATGGCTGCAGAGCCCACTCACCGGGAATCGATGCTGTCTCCAACTTCAAAACCTAAGCTTTAAAGGGTTTAGGGGTTGGGAGTGAGAAGTTGTTGATTGCGCTTTAGGGTCTGGGTCGCTGGGAGTGTTTCGGGGCGCACGGCAAGACCTATATGCCAGCAGCAAAGCCACAACACGTCTACGGCCTCGACAGGCTTTTAGAAGGGAGGGCCCTATACCCTAAACCCTAAACCCTAAACCCTAAACCCCAACTTACGACCTTTAAGCTTGGGCTTCAAACTACATCAGAACTTGTGGTAAGCTGTTCGGGTCATCCGAAAACGTGGCGAGGTAGCAATCTGCAACTAATCCTAAACCAGCGCCCGGACTCACGGCCAAAGCTCCTACCCCCCCCCCCCCCCCCCCCCCCCCAAGCCTAAGTCCCCTTCTTTAAAGCCCTAAGCAAACCCTAAATCCTACAGCCTAAACCCCTTAAACCTGGACCCCGACACGCCTCGAAACCCTGGACCCTAAACCCCAAAGCTCCTTGTCCGCTGTAGCCCCTAGGGTTAAGGTTAAGGGTTAAAGGGTTAAGGGTTAAGGGTTAAGGGTTAAGGCTTAAGGTTAAGGTTAAGGGTTAAGGGTTTAGGGTTTAGGTTTAGGGTTTAGGGTCTGCAGTCGAGCTGCCGCCTGCTTTTCTACACCGCCAGCCGCCTGTCGGAGCGGGCTGGGTGTACAGGCTGCAGAAGACTTGAGGTTTGTGGATTGGGGATTTAGGGTTTTAGGGTTAGGGTTTAGGGTTTAGGGTTTAGGGGGTTTAGGGTTTAGGGGGTTTAGGGTTTAGGGTTTAGGGTTTAGGGTTTAGGGTTTAGGGTTTAGGGTTTAGGGTTTAGGGTTTAGGGTTTAGGGTTCAGGATGGTCTTTTCGTCCCAAGCTTGGGCTTCAAGTTGGGCTTCAAGGGTTGAACGGTTCACAGCTAGTCTGAAACCCCTCCACACATGCCCTAAACCCTAAAGGGCATGTGTGGAGGGGTTTCAGACTAGCTGTGAACCGTTCAACCCTTGAAGCCCAACTTGAAGCCCAAGCTTGGGACGAAAAGACCATCCTGAACCCTAAACCCTAAACCCTAAACCCTAAACCATCCTAAACCCTAAACCCTAAACCCTAAACCCTAAACCCTAAACCCTAAACCCTAAACCCTAAACCCTAAACCCTAAACCCTAAACCCTAAACCCTAAACCCTAAACCCTAAACCCTAAACCCCAGCCACATTTCTCAACTTCAGTCTGCCCAGGATGGTCATCCTCTTACTGTTCTGAGCAGCGAGTTAAGGGATTAGCGCCCCTATCTGAGGCTGCTTATATGACGGCTTAGGGTCCCTAATTTCCCCCCGAGACCCTGCTAAGAACCAGTAGCTCTGTTAATGTTGGCACACCACTAACTCTGAGCAGCTTTTTCGTGTCGCAGGCTCTAGTTGCCACAGCAGAGAAAGCAAATGCCAAAACAGGAAGCATGAGGGGACAGGAAGACAGGACAGAGATGCTCTTGAAGAGACAAATGGCAGACAGGGTCTTCTTTTAGGCAAGAGGCGGTTAGGGTTTAGGCTTAGAACCTGCCAAGGGCTACAAGTACAGGTCCTATAACTTGGGAAAGGGGGAATGATAGGACGTGCTTTACCCATCTGATCCTGAAGCATCCAAGTCGAAGTCTTCTGAACCAAAGAAGGGATCGCCAACAAACGATACGCAAGAAGCCAATACCGCCGAATCCCTATGCCACCACCTAAGCCTATAAAACATCTTGAGCCCCCCCCCCCCCCCCCCAAAGCCAAGCACCAAAACCCGTTCAACACTCTTCGCAAAATCTAAACCCTAAACCCTAAGCCCTAAGCCCTAAGCCCTAAGCCCTAAGCCCTAAGCCCTAAGCGCTAAGCCCTAAGCCCTAAGCCCTAAGCCCTAAGCCCTAAGCCCTAAGCCCTAAGCCCTAAGCCCTAAGCCCTAAGCCCTAAGCCCTAAGCCCTAAGCCCTAAACCCTAAACCCTAAACCCAAACCCGACACCCGAAACCCTAAACCCTAAACCCTAAAACCAGATCCTTAAACCCTAAACCCTAAACCCTATAAGCCCTAAGCCCTAAACCGTTCTGAAGCCTTGAAGTCCGCCCAGCCCTTGTAATGGGCTGTGGTCCTCGCTCAGATTAGGGCTCAGGGGCTTTGAAAGTATGGGGCTTGGAGATTAGGGCAAAGTTTTGTACAAGGTTTAGGGTTTAGGGTTTAGGGTTTAGGGTTTAGGGTTTAGGGGTTAGGGGTTAGGGTTTAGGGTCGAGGGTTTGGAGGTAAGGGAATGGGGCTTGGAGATTGGGACTTTGGGGGGGCCTTCTTGGAGTCTTCTTTCTCGTCATGTAAACTCCTCTTGGTTTCACGTGCCCAGTTGGATCGACCCCATTTCGAAAGGCGTTGCTCAGGGACCATAACCTTAAACCCTAAACGCTAAACCCTGAACCCTGAAAGCCTAAGAGGCTTTAGGGCCTTGCGGGTGGCTAGCTGCCTGAGGGTTCAGGGGCTTAGGGGTTTAGGGATTTTGGGGTTTAGGGCTTAGGGCTTACGGCTTAGGGCTTAAGGCTTAGGGGTTTAGGGCTTAGGGTTTAGGGGTTTAGGGGTTTAGGGCATAGGGTTTAGGGTTTAGGGTTTAGGGGTCAACGTGCTTTGGTTCTTCAGGCCAGACTTTGCTGGTCCGGTTTAAAGGTTTGCGGGTTGCAGCTGCAGGGTGGAAGGTTGCGCGCCGAAAGCTTGGGATGTAGGGGTTTAGGGGCTTAGGGGTTTAGGGGTTTAGGGGCTTAGGGGTTTAGGGGTTTAGGGGTTTAGGGTTTTAGGGTTTTAGGGTTTTCGGGTTTAGGATTTAGGATTTAGGGTTCAGGGTCTACGATCTAAGGTCAAGGGCTCATGGTTTGATAGAGTTTCGTAGGTCGCAAACAGAGCCTGGCGGGGGGGGGGGGGGGGGAAGCCCTAGTGCTCCCGAAAGATGGCAAGGCCCTAATTCGGGTTCAAAAGCATCTGGGCCGTTTCTACCAAGGAGGACTTCGAGATTTGTGGCATGCGTGTCGTGTACATCTAAGGGTAGTTTCATATGGGCCCTTAAGATGGTCCCTTACCTCCTTTAAAAGATTCTCTGATGTAAGGGCCCGTAATTTGTTCAGGGTATTTAAGGGGTATACACTGGGCACCCGTTAAAGGGCCCATACTAAGGGACCATGTAACTACCCTAAGAGTATAGATCCCCATACGGTCCTATGGTGGTCGATTGCGGCATCGTCCACGTAGACCTCGTAGAAATGGAACCGGTTCGGAACCTGCACGGCACGCAGCTGCTGCAGGCGAGTGTGGTGCTTCAAAGGTAGTTAGGCTTCAGTTGTAAATTCGGGCTCAGGGATTGAGGGTTTGGAAGCTTAGGGGTTTCGGGTGTCTCTTGGTGGCGGAGCTGGAGCGACAGGGCTTCCATTCAGTCTTTAGTTAGGCAATGACCAAACTGCGTCGCCCTTAAAATCTAACTACCCCAGCCCCCAAAACCACTCCACCCCAAACATAAGCCCAACAATTATGCCCCTTAAAGCCGAAACCCTACCAAAACATCCTCAACCTTCAACTTTAGGTTTGGGGTTCAGCGTTTTAGGGGGGTTTTGGCGGTTTTAGGGTTTAGGGTTTAGGGTTTAGGGTTGAGGTCTTAACTTCTTCCTAAGCCCGAAGCGCTGGGGCTCTGAAGCTCCTTTGCCTCCTTGTCCTTGAGGAGGTCGAAGCGAAGGCAATTCGGCTCTACAGACTTATCTCTGGCGTTTACAGCATCCTGGCAGGGGACATGTCGGGTTTAGAGGGTCCCTGTAAAATTCTAGAGTTGCTTTGTTTTTAGCTTCTTGGGCCCTTGGGTTTTATATGGCTTCTTGGGCTTAGAGGGGTTTGTGCGTCTCAGAATCCTCAGAAGGGCTTATAATTTCGGGGCGTGTCAGGTTTTGAGGTGTCGGGGATCCTGGTCTTCGAGTTTAGGGCTTGGGGCTTCGGATTTTAGGGTGCATATTCTTTGAGCATAGGATCCAACGGTTCGGAATTAAGGGCCCCCAAGCCCTACAGTAAACTTTAAAACGCAATTCCTCCACCTAAGCGCTTAGGGGGCACCGGGGGGGGGGGGGGGGTCCCTAAACGAGCGTCCCTTTTGAGGACTTGGTTTGCATATTTAGGGTGCTCAAAGCTTAGGCAAAAGGGGCCTTGATATTGAGAGCTGGCCTCTCTCCGGCACTTGGACTTTCAAAGCCTCTACACCTGAAGAAAACCTCTGGAGGATAGGCTTACAGGATTCGATTTTGGGTGCCTAGCTTCTGTATGATATGAGGCCACGGATGAACGGTAGTCACGGTCTGCCACAAGAATCGGTAGCAGCTAATAACGAGATCCAGCACCAGCACGTGGCACAACTTGTACCCAGGAGTCCGAGAGCGATGTTAGCTAAGGCGCCAAAAGGCTTGCAGCAGGCCCTCGGCACGAAAAGAACAACCTCGCTGCTACCCTTCGTAAACATCTACATGCTTAAACCCTTAAACCCTTAAACCCTAAACCCTAAACCCTAAACCCTAAACCCTAAACCCTAAACCCTAAACCCTAAACCCTAAACCCCAAAACCAACCCTGCACCCTGGACCCGACATCGCTCCAACGGCCAGCTGAAGTCCAATGACCGGAGAGCCGAGATCCTTGCGCCATCAACTCCCGAACCTAACCCTGACCCAAAAAGCAAGGCCGAAGCCCTGAGCTGAAGACCCTTAAGGGCCTTAAGGGTTTAGGGTTTAGGGTTTAGGGTTTAGGGTTTAGGGCTAGGGAACTCCTACAAGCCCTGAGACCCGAGGACCCGAATCAAACCCTCACCCTTCGAAAACTTGACCCGGCCGGTCCCCCTCCATGACTTTCAGGAAGTCGTCGAGCTTTTCCGCCTTGATGTCCACGGTCACCAGCACCGCTGCACTGGTTTTGGTCCCTCGGAATAAGGTTCAGGGTGTAATCCCTTCCCCCTTTTATTAAATGCAACCCTAATGATAAAAAACACTTACCGGAAAATCCTGCCGAAACCGACCCCGCCTTTTAAACCCAATTCCGAAGTAGGGGGGTGGTTCAGGCCTCCAGTAAACCCCTCAACACCAATAAAACCCTCAGAGGGTTTAGGGTTGGGGATCTAGGTTAAGGGTTTAGGGGTTAGAGTCCATATGACATTTCGATAAGAATACCCCCTAATTATAAAAACAGGTTTCGAATTTTTAAAGGGGGGGGGGGGAGCCCCCCGTTTAATATTAGGGGGAAGGGATTCGGGGTTTTGGGCCCTAAACCCTAAACCCTAAACCCTACACCTTACACCCTAAACCCTAAACCCTCATGTGCCTCCAAGGATCAGGGCTGAACTCAGGCTTCAGGGCTTAGGGGCTAGAGGGGCGCCAGGAGTTTGAGCCTCCTTACACACCACGAGCTGACCAGCCCCGCCTGAAACGCCACTAAGCTCTTAAAACCCTGCCTGGGACTCTCTTTACCCTAAACCCTAAACCCTACTCCCTACAGGTTTATGGGCTATACCTTCCAATTACGGTTGTTTTTACTGCCAAACTGTAGGCAAGCAGAGTCGCAGGTGAATCCGCTCAAAGGCCCCTCCCCCCAAAGCTGGGCCTGTGGGAACAGTCTGAAAGGCCCAAGGAGGCAGCGAAGTTGTCTCTGCCTCCAATTCCGCGCCAGAAGGGGAGGAGGTTCGGGGGCCCGGGCAAACCTTTCTTTGGGTTACTAATATTGCTAGCCCCCCCAACCAAAAATAGATAATCAACCAAAACAAACATACACACACACACACACATATATATATATATATATATCGAATATATAAACAACGAGAATGCACACTTCGTATGGAACCTTCAAAATCGCTACGCCTTGTCTGGGACACCCGCTCCTTTTGGCTTTGGCTTATCCAAAGCTTCGACTGCAGGGCTTTGGGCGTGTAAAGCCCGAGGGACGCCGAGGATGATCTGACGATAGACGATTCCCTAAGGGTCCATGTACCTAATTATTGAATACTTGGGCCTTAAAGCACTTCCTATATAGGCACTTTGGGGCCCAAGTATATAATAATGAGGTACATGGACCCTTAGGGATACTGCACGCAGCCCTGAGCCGTCAGGTGGTTGGGGGAATTTTGGGCGCTTGGGCCACGGCAGCAGTTTAGGGTTTGGGGTTGCAGGGATACCCCCTAACCCCTGAACCTTAAACCCAAAACCCTAACCCAAAACCCTAAACCCTGCGGGCTTCCATGGGGGATGTGTGAATGCGAGCGCCGGGGCGGCGAGATGAAATCCAAACAGCCCCACACCGACAGGAGGAGAACGCAGCAGCAAGAAGAGTAAACTCTTAAGCCCCCCTAAGCCCCCCCAATCCCCGCCCCAAACCCCCTAAACGCAGCCTAAACCCCCCCAACCCCTCTAAACTCCTAATTAAACCCAAAACCCTAAGCCCTAAACCCTTGACAGCCCCCCACCTTCACTACGGTCTGGGATTCCACTGCGCCAGTGGCTTTGAAATCTGCCCAGGCTTTGTAGTGGGCCGTGGTCTTGTGGGTGGTGATGGCCTCATCGTTCGTGTAGGCCTGGGGCAGGTTTGGGGTTTAGGGTTTAGGGTCAGGGTTTAGGGTTTAGGGTTTAGGGTTTAGGGTTTAGGGTTTAGGGTTTAGGGTTTAGGGTTTAGGGTTTAGGGTTTAGGGTTTAGGGTTTAGGGTTTAGGGTTTACGGTTTAGGGTCTAGGGTTTATAGGGTCAGGGTTTAGGGCTTCACTGGGAGTATATAACGCTTCAGGTTGTAGAGGGTGTAGTGCACAGGCTATAAGGTGTGGTTTGGGCGAGCCCGGGGTTTATGCAGGGTGGAGGCTTCATAAAGGCTTTATCGCTCCCTTTCTGGGCTTACAAGGCTAATAACGTTCAGGTTAAGGCCCCAAACCCTAAACCCTAAAACCCTCAGGCCCTAAGGTTCAGATCACTTGTCTAAGCTTGGGACGCTGGACTCACGGTCGCCATCGCATTAATCAGGCTACATGCATGTCCAGTTACTCGTTCTGGTCTGGTTTTGGGCTCCTGTCATGATTACAGCCCCTTTTCGTTAGGGATTCCCAATGAGAACTGATCTGACATATTCCTCATTGTTTAGGATACCAAACAAGGCAAGCCCTAAACTCTAAAGTCAAAAAACCTGAACCCTAAACCCTAAACCCTAAACCCCGCCTCATAGAAAACAAACTTGTTGGGATTTTCTCGATCTCTGAGCAAGTCGAAGCGGAGGCACCCAGGGTCCTTGGAGAACAACCCGCCTTGAAGCCCTCATAGGGTTTAGGGTTTAGGGTTTAGGCCCTGAACCGTCAGGGTCGGGGCCTAGGAATCTGAGAAGCAAGAGCTGTCGGCAGCTTTCCACCACCCTCTGGGCATTCTCTTCTTGCATTGGGCGTAGGGTAGGTTGGCCCTAATTTGGTTCGTAAGCTATATGGTTAAAACGTCTCTAGTAGCTGTATGGTACAAGTAGGAATGGGGGGGGGGTCAGCCTTGCTGCGAGGCCCCCAACCCCCACCCACCACCCCGAGTGGTTTTGCGTGGGAATACCCTTTCGGGATCTCAAACATTGAAGAATGGAAGGGGCACCTTTTTTGGGGGTTTCGAAGGGAAGCGCACTCCCTTAAACAAATGGGTAACCAGGGTGGGGTCCGGCAACATTTGGCTTAGGGTGTAGTGTTTAGGCTGTGGGGTTACCTTAGGCAACACCACCCAAACAAGGCTCCTGCGCCTTATCGCGCGAGCCCTTGGCATCTCCTTCCATGACTTTCCTGAGGTGGCAGCATATCCCCCAGAGTTGAGCATTGAGGTTTGAGGGTTTGAGGGTTGGGGGATTGGTTTCTGCCGTTTCTGGGACGCAAGGTTGGGGTGGTTCGGTGGAGGCGTTTCAGTCAGGGGCCTTTGGCAAAGAACTTGACATAATTCACGAGGTGCAGTTCTCCATCCTTTGCGTTTGTTCATGGCCGGAACCCTAAACATGGTGTTTGGGTTGTCAGGGCTGCCGTGATTGTAGTCGAAAGCTTGTGGCTTTTGGGGCGGTAACAAGGTTTGCCAATTTGCTGTTGGGATGGGACCCCTCGCTATTTGTAGACTTGCAAGTTATGAGCGTCCAAGACTTGGCTTCTCAGCATCTACCCTAAGGGTCCATGTACCTAATTATTGAATACTTGGGCCTAAAAGCACTTCCTATATAGGCACTTTGGGGCCCAAGTATATAATAATGAGGTACATGGACCCTTAGGGTCTAGACTTAAGCTGTCAGCCCCCTAACCAAAGATTGCATGGTAGTGGGGCCGGGGGGCCCAAAAATCACGTTTGGGGAAATATGATTCCTTGCTCAGCGAGTATCAAGAAATCATCGATCCGATCGGGCTTGATCTCCACTGTCACCAGCCTGGGTGGTTGAAATTAGGGTTCACGGTCTTGGGTTTAGGGTTGGTGTTGAATTAAGAACCTGGGTTGGCCTTTAAACCCTCTGCAAAATATTTATATATAGGGTCCCTTCTGAACCCTAGTAAGGAAAACATAAAATGTCCCAAAAACCAACCTAGGAACACTTTTGGGGGGTTGCTATCTATGACGAGAAATCCTTGGGCACCCCTTTGGCTCAGATGTCCCTAAAGCCTAAGCCCGAAATCCTCTGCCCCCTACAGACTGGGTTTAGGGTTTAGGGTTTAGGGTTTAGGGTTTAGGGTTTAGGGTTTAGGGTTTAGGGTTTAGGGTTTAGGGTTTAGGGTTTAGGGTTTAGGGTTTAGGGTTTAGGGTTTAGGGTTTAGGGGCTCAAGATGAGATCTTGGAACTCACGACCCTACACAGCTCAATGTCCTGAGAGGCTGCCCCAGTCAGCCCCTAATCCGAGCATCAGTTTAATTAATACCCCCACATTTAAAGAAATTTTTTTGGCCGGAATATGACTACTTTCCATTAGGGTGGATTTCGTATGGGACAAACCCCCCACATTTAAAGGAATTTTTTTGGGGGGGGTTCAAAAATCTGTCGGCAGGCTTCTTGTTTTGCTTGCGGAGACGCAAAGCTACAGCACCTCAGGGATCTGCAGCCTATTGTTTTTAATAGAGAATCAATACAGGGCCATGGTCCAACTATTGCGGAACCCTGCATTCCTTATTGTGGAGGGGGGGGGGGGGGCCCCCACCAATTAAACAGAAGCTCGGATTACACCCCAAATGCTCCTTGAGGCCCCCCAAACCCTAAACCCTAAACCCTAAACCCTAAACCCTAAACCCTAAACCCTAAACCCTCTCAACCCCCGCGTGGTGGGAGAGGGGCGGCGCCGAAGCTCGGTAGTTCCATGGTCGACGCCTTATATAGCCCTTACATACCTTATACAACCCAAAGGGCCCATACTTCAAAACCCTTTTTGACGGAAGTAAGGAACCACATTCAAGGCCCATGGAACTACCAGTAGAGAAGCCCTTAGACATCGATGGCGCAAGCGAGCAAGCATAGGAAACACTAAACCCTAAACCCTAAACCCTAAACCCTAAACCCTAGACCCTAGACCCTAGACCCTAAACCCTAAACCCTAAACCCTAACCCTAAACCCTAAACCCTAAACCCTAAACCCTAAACCCATATAATCTACTCCCTGTTTGATTCTACGCCGCGGTCTCACTCTTCAGTTCACCTATCACTGATTGCAGCCAAAAGTTCCCAAACTTGGGCCCAAGCACTTCGTAAGTCTCTCCCATGCAGCTTTATCTGAAAGGTCGTCTAGGTACCTCTGCTTGAACCAACTCGTACTGGAAACCCTCCACCCTAGACCCTAAACCCTAAAGCCCTAAACCCTGACAAACCCTAAACCCCAACAACCTCCCTTGCGTGGGCCCCCGTTAAGGGTCCTCTACTAAACTCCCTAAACCCCTAAACCCCTAAACCCCTAAACCCCTAAACCCTGAACCCGAAACCCTAAACCCTAACCTGACGAGGTGCACGGCCAGCCCGACCGCGGAGCTCATGGTCAAGTTCCGACGTATGGCCACCGGGAGCCACGCTGGAGGCTGTTCAGCTGCGGGTGTGGCGCTCAGCATGCATTCTTTTCTTTTGGGAGGGTTAGGGTTTAGGGTTTGAGGTTAGGGTTTCGGGTTTGGGGTTTAGGATTTAGGCTGCGGCTTCAGGGTTTAGCGTTTTTTTTGGGATTTAGGGTTTTAGGTTTTAGGGGATGGCCCCCTTTGGGGGCTGGGGTCTAGGGTACATATACGGTTTAGGGCGGACCCTGCACCGACCGAGTCTTGTAGCGAACAGACCCTTACTAAGGGAACATTTCGGGCTCAGTAGGGCTTGGTGCTTGAGCTAGGAGTTTTGAGGTCCAATGTGGGGCTCGCTCTTGATGCTGCAAGTCAGTTCGCTGAACTGCATTCCTTTTCGTGGGGTCCTGTATGCGTGGAGTATATAGCGAAGTTGGGACGAGCTGACTCTGCAAAGACGTGGAGCTCGTGAACGTTGCCTCATTAAGGGCTTTCTAGCAATCTAGCATCTCTTAGGGATTTCCCGAAGCCCTAAACCCTAAACCCTAAACCCTAAACCCCAAACCCCAAAACGGCCATGAGTCCTGATGCTTCCGCCGCCAGTGCTCGCGCACGACGAGCCGGTCCGTCACGCTGGGCTGAGAAGCAGCCTGCCAGGCCCAGGTCCTAAAAAGTTCTCGAGCTCCAAGCTAGTTAACCCGCTCCCCCTAATATAACCCCACCCCAATCAACTGATATTGAATGCCCCACTTTTCTTTGTTTTTTTTTTTTTATCTCTCTCTCTCTCTCTTCTCTCTAAGTCTCTTTCTGCCCTCTCTGTCTGCCTGTCTGCCTTCCTGCCTGTCTGTCTTTCTCTCGCTCTCCAACCCCGGCCAGGCCCTGCCAAGCAACCGGCGCAGACGTTTCGTCCCAAAACGCAGAGGCAGGCTCAAAAACCCTGGACCCGAATCAAACCAGCAGGGCAACATGGGGTTTATTGGCTTCATCGGGTCCAGGGCTTGCAAAAGCCCACCTCCACGTGCGCGGCGGCAGTTCCCACAGCCACCAGTGCCTGGCTCCAAATGCCCCAAACCCTAAACCCTAAACCCTAAACCCTAAACCCTAAAACATGGAGGAGGTGCCGAAACCTAGAACAGGCCTACCTCACAGCACAATCCGCGCTGAAACCTGCCGAAACCGCCACGCCGAACGACATCCACCTCCGCCCTGGCCAACACATCCTGACCCTGAACCCTGAACCCTAAACCCTAAACTCTAAACCCTAAACCCTAAACCCTGAACCCTGAACCCTGAACCCTGAACCCTAACCTTAAACCGTCGCGGAAGAACCTGCAGACTGAATTTAGCTGCAGCTTCAGGTTTTCAGGCTTTCAGGGCTTTGCCAAACCCTGGACCCGAATCCCCACACCAGCCCTAGAAACCCTACAGACTCCACAACCCCTACAAGCCCTACAAACTACACCCTAAACCCCAAACCCTAAACCCCAAACCCTAAACCCTAAACCCCAAACCCTAAACCCCAAACCCTAAACCCTAAACCCTAAACAAACCCCAAACCCGAAACTCTGCAGTCGAACTCGCGCGCCTGGAGGAGCTGATCGAAGCGCATGTCGTAACTCCGAACCTGTCTATGGCATACTAAGGTTTAGGGTTTCAGGTGATTTTGTGGTCTTTTCACAGCTGGCACGACAAAGACTTTTGGGCTTCGGTTTGAAGGTAGACTTTAAAGTGCAACATACTCGCGATGAACAATGCTGTTGCTTATTACAATGCTTATGCTAACCCGAGTTCTAATTTACATGTCAACCTTGCTGTGTGTCATTGTTGTCTCTTTCTTTTTTTCTTACTCTTGTACTTTCTAATTATGTTTCTTGTTCTTGTCATTTTCTTCGTATGTTTGGCTCCTTTTTGCGTGGCTTCACAGTGCCATTCCTTGTGGGGTTTCAGTGCTAGGACTCACACTAGTCACTGCTTGGGGGGGCCTGCGGCTGACAGGCATGGACATCTCTTGCTGCGACTCTCCTTTAGATTTCGCATCAGCTAAGGGAAACAGGGTCCGTGTACCTCATTACTACCTACTTGGGCCCGAAAGTCCCTATATAGGAAGTACTTTAAGGCCCAAGTATTCAATAATTAGGTACATGGACCCTTAGGGTTGCGTAGAATCATACAAGCTCTAGATAACCCTAAACCCTAAACCCTAAACTCTAAGCCCCAAACGCGTGAAGCCCCTGGCCCTGCGAACCCTGTGGGTCCTCCAGCTGTCGACCCAAATCCGCCATGCGGCTGCACTGGCTCGCCTTGAAGGCGGATGGTATTTTTGCTTAGGGTTTAGGGTTTAGGGTTTAGGGGTCAGGGGTTCAGGGTTCAGGGTTCAGGGTTTAGGGTTTAGGGCTTTACGAGGTTTAGGGGCTTAGGGGTTTCGGGTTTTAAATGGTCTTGGGGCTCAAGGCTTAGAGTAATTCATTCGAAATTCCCCAAATCCCAAAGCCCTAAAGCTTCCCTCGGCCTGACTGACTTCTAGCAAGGGAATAGGGGCCCTCCCGAACCCTTAGGCTCGGACATAGCCAAACCTTATCAAGGCCTCTGGGCCTAACAACCCTCAAATGTGAGTCCTTACTTGGAGGATCATGGCACTTCTTAACCAGTTATAGCTGCGTATACGTATGACTGTACTTATAACCATATTAGGGCACTTAAGGGGCCTATACGTGGGTCATAAGTACAGGTGTAATCGGATAATAAGTACCAGGAAACCCTAAACCCTAAACCCTAAACCCTAAACCCTAAACCCTAAACCCTAAACCCTAAACCCTAAACCCTAAACCCTAAACCCTAAACCCTAAACCCTAAACCCTAAACCCACCCTAAAGGGGCAAAAACCCAAGGGGTACCACCTCCAAGTCTAGCCTTCAGGGTCGGGCCTGTAACTTCCTATGAACTCGAAGCCCTAAACTTTAAAAGACCTTGAGCTTCCTAAACCCGAAAAACCTAAACCCTGGGCTTGCTAAGCCCGAACCCTTGAGTTTCCTAAACCCTAAACCCTAAACCCTAAACCCTAAACCCTATAGACCCTAAACCCTAAACCCTAAACCCTAAACCCTAAACCCTAAACCCTCAAGAGCCCGACCCTGATTTCTCAGGCGTGGGCAGACACGGAAGCATGCTCCGAGCACTGCGCGTTGAGCTGCTGCAGCTCCTTTTGACAAGGCCCGAAACCATAGAAATCTGTTTAGGGTTCAGGGTTTAGGGTTTAGGGTTTCGGGTTTGGGGTTTAGGGTTTAGGGTTGAATATGAAAAGGTGTCACTGGGTTTAAGGTTTATGTTTAGGGTTTGGGGTTTAAGGGTTTAGGGTTTAAGGTTTAGGGTTTGGGGGTCTACGGTCCCTCATCCGGGGTTAAAAGGCTTCAAGGTTTTGGGGGTTCAGTGTTCAGGCTTTGGGGCGTAGGGTCCAGTTTCGGGTAAAACTCTCTCCCCCTAATCGCCTATGTTGAAAAGTACAGGATGCTGGGGCTTTATAGGGTTTAGGGTTTAGGGGTTTAGGGTTTAGGGGTTTAGGGCTTAGGGTTTTATTTGGCGTTACAAGCTGGTTTTGGGGCTCAGAGAAGCGAAAAGCGTGGGTCAGGAATGTCGAATGTTGTCTCCCCGCCCCATGTAAACCCTGACAAACTCCTAAACTCCCAAACCACCCTCAGCAAACAATGCATAGTTACGATATCGCATATACATGCATAATTATATGTGTGTTTACAATAAAAATATATGTGTGCATCTATATGCAAATATAAGTGTGTGAGTGTATATATATATATATATAAGCTGCACATTTTCGTGCACCGGACAACCCTTTTCATTTTTAAGGACGGTGGCCTCTTTCTCTGTTTCCCTTACACCTTCATATAGCCCCTAGATACCCAAAGAAGGGCCCTGAATATAGGCCCTATAAATTAACAGAACCCTAAACCCTAAAGCCGAAACCCGAAACCCTAAACCCTAAAACCAACCCATGTGACCTTTACACGATGCGGCCATAGCTTTCGCAACGACTTCGGCGCCCAGCTAGGAATCGGGGAATGAGGTACCCTATGTGATTCCGTTAATAAGGGTCTATATAGGGTACCCTACATTATCCCTTCAAGGGTATACAGAGGGCCCTAATCTTTACTATTGGATAGCAAGGAATGAAGGAATTCGGGGCCTATATCGCAGAGCGGCGTCCTGCATAGGTATCAGGAGGCACACGAGTCATCCTTTTCTATACTCTATACCTTGAGTTACATATAATGGGCTGTCCTTTGTGTACCCTGAGCTATGCAGCATACTAGTCTCCCCAGGTATCCCCAGACGGGAAAGGTTACCTTTTCGGAGGTTTTCGGGAATTTGGGTACATTGGGCATCTTAGCTCGTAGTTTAGGCCTAAACTACAAGGAATATACGATGGCCAAGCTCTCCGAAATGCACCATACAGGATTAGAGCAACCCTGGATCATATCGGCGTTTTCAGGTGCTACCTTCACTAAAATGGCCAACACGAAAGCGAGGCCTCGCTTCCCCCCAAACCATAAAATCTAAACTTAAACCCTACGCCCTACGCCCTACGCCCTACGCCCTACGCCCTAAGCCCTAAGCCCTAAACCTTTAAACCCTAAACCCTAAACCCTAAACCCTAAACCCTAAGCCCTAAACCCTAAACCCTAAACCCTAAACCCGAACCCTAAAGAGCCATGCGCCCGAAGCCTAAGCCCCATGGGCCAAAACCCTTCTCCTGCAGCAGGGCCTGGAACTTGTCGTTGGCAGGCAACTCCTGAACCCAAAGGTTTCAAGAGGTGGGGTTAGGGTTTAGGGTTTAGGTTTAGGGTTTAGGGTTTAGGTTTTAGGGTGTAGGATTTAGGGTTTAGGGTTTAGGGATTTGTGGTATGGGCTCAGAGATTCGGGGTTCAATTCGGGGTTTCGGGGCTTCATACCGCTGGCAGTGCCAATATGGCTTCGTAGCCACTCTGTCCTATATGTGCGGGATCAATGCGACGCCTCGCAAATAGGATGCGAAGCTGTGCGGAAACCGGTGACAGAGACTTTGAAGACCACAAGTTCTCACGCAGTGCCGAGAGTCTTGCGTGCTATATGAAGTTTGGGGCCGGGGCATCTGCAAAGCCAAAGACAATTCCCCTATAAACCCCGAGCCCTATAGGTTTGAGGCTTTTAGGGTTGAGGGCTTATGAGCTGTGGAAAGCCCAGATCTCCCAAAACTCATTAATTAAGGAATATACCCTAATTCAGAATAAGGATCCTTCTTATGAATTAGGGAATATTCCTTAATTAAATATACCCTAATTCAGAATAAGGATCCTTCTTATGAATTAGGGTATATTCCTTAATTAAGGGGGTTTTGGAAGATCTGGGAGCTTGTGCAACCTTCTGGTGGTGAGTCAGACACGTGCTTTTGGGAAGGGAAGGTTGGGGAGTGGAGGGCGTGGCATCGCAAACACTGAAGGGAGGGTTTGGGGTTCATAAGTTTAGGGTTTAGGGTTTAGGGTTTAGGGTTTAGGGTTTAGGGTTTAGGGTTTCGGGCTCTCATTTAAGGAAGCCTTGACACCCCTCCAGTCGGTCTTGCAGCAACTCAGGACTGATCTTGATTCGGGCAACTCCACCAAGAACTGAAGCAATGCCGCAATTAGGGGTGACAAGGCCCTCCTTCGTGTGCAACGGACCTCGGGAAGTGCCGTGAAGTCATGGTTTAGGGCTTCGGGTTCAGGATATATCGATGAGGAAGCAGCTTGCAAAAAACGTACTTGACTGCTAGGACGGGGACGTAGCGAGAACCTCACCCAAGCTAGCTTCGGCATATGGTTCTGCGTCCTGTGCCTTCTGAGACATCGTGCCGGGTTCCTTCTGACCTTTGAGCAATGTGAGGGTCGCACCCCGGTCTTTTTTTTTCTCTTTCAGGGGTTTGTTAAGTACTCTATGACCTACGTACGATAATGTAGTAGAATGTTAACGTGATTATCATTCGACGTCCTCGCCGGGTTCTGCTGCCAAGCGCGGCGGCCTCCCACAGCGCCCGAGACTACAAATCCGAGCCCTGAAGCCAAACAGAAACTTCCTTAAACAGCGCCCTCAACTACAAGTCTGAAGCCTAAACCCAAACAGAAACTTCACTAAACCTCAACCCTTTCAACCCTTAACCCCGGAACCCGCCCATCTTGCTAATCCCCGGCAACTCGCAACCTGTCAAATGCAAGACCCAACTGCAGCCTGAATTCCTTTAGGGGCTGGAGGGTCCTGACTCTGTGTAGGGCGCCCAAGTCCCTTTTGGTTCGGAAGTTAAACAAAAAAGAATAGCAAAAGCGCCTTATACAGGGCTCGGTGACAGCACTGCGTCAAAATCACATTGGTTTAAGAAACAAGCACCCCTCACGTGCGAACATCGAGAGCAAGACTAAATTACGATATCGAGGGTACCCTCTTCCTTGGGGAACATATGCTGTGATTTTGGTTGTTTTTGCAACAGCGCCTCAATTTCTTAATCCCCCCTAAAATGAGACATCAGCCCCCCCGCCCTTTTCAAGTGTGAAAGCCCCTCAAGTTCTTAAATTTAAGAAATCCAAACCCTGGATTTCTGGATACAATTCTGTAGCAGCTTGGTAAGGCAGCTGAACTCAGAATGCAGTACATTGCAGCTTGAAACCCCATGCGCCCGATAAATAAGTAATTGCAGGGATGGATTTCTTACTTTTAAA